CACCGGCTATCCAGAAGTAGTCGGCGAGGGGGGCGCCTTCCGGGGTGCTTGGAGGCGGTGGCATTGTGGAGAGAGTCGCGACGGACTGTAGCGGGTTAATACCTTAATTGTCACCACATGGATCGTAGTATTTCCAGGGAAAGGAATGCGCAGGGGAATTGAGCGCATGTAGTGTTCGGGAGGGGGAAGCTGGTAAAAATGGGGGAGAACGGGAGGGAGGGGCAGTTCAGAGCGAAGATCAATTTCGGGGTGGTTTGAAGGTCCAACGTTGTATTAAAAAGGAGTTCGATTCTGATTAGCTTTTTTTTTATTTGTGGCCTCCAGGTATTATTTCTACCTAAATACATATATTTTCTACCTTTTGGAATATTCCTGTGTTGTTGTTGTTTTTTTTTAAAAAAAAAAACTTTCTTTTCTTCTTCCCCCTAGGATCACGGGTGGTTGCGTAGGCGTGTAGTAATGTTACTAGAACCCGACTTTCGAAATGCACATCTCTACTCCACTGTATAAAAATGGTAAGAGTCACCCGTGTCAAGTCCAGATATTTAACAAATCAAGCCCATCAAGGGCCCGGGCCATTCACAGCCCTAGCCTCCATGCACAAGAGTCTTGACACCGTAACGACCTGCAGGCATGTGCAGGGTGGCTAGACTCTAAAGGGGATCCAGACTTCCGGGGTATACCCAGAATACCGGTTCATTCTTATGTCTATATCAACAGCGATGTATGCCCTCGGTACTCCTCCACTTCTTTCCCGAATGATACCTACCGTTGTGTATAGATACCAGGCAACTTCCAATTACAAGATATAAAGAACCACGAACCTTGGAAATATTGCATCCGCCCCAGGGGTTAGAGGCCCGTGATCCATGGTTGAGCTTTAGCGGATAACGCAAGCGGGTCTTGGCTGATCCTTTTTTTAACCAGGTTCGTCAACTAACTAGTACGCTATCTATGGGGGGTAACTGGGGTTTATTCTCTATTGAAACATGGCGTCAACATGTCTTTCTTTTTAGGGGTTTTAGGGGTTTTTTGCTTGGTATAGCGCCACAATGTCATTCTTTTGTATATCTAACTTTTATAAACTGCTAACTAGCACTTTCAGGGGGTGAAAACCATCGGGAACTGCCGCGGTCTTGGGAGATTGTAGGTTTTCACTTTACCGTTTATTCCCTCGTGCTTTTAGATTGCGGAGTCCACCCAACGGCTTCTTTATTTTTATTTTTTTGCCACACCTACAACTAGTATCATGTACGGAGTACGTTTCCCACCGTTTCTCTTATTCCGTACTTTCTATGCATGACACGATGTGTACTTTGGGACATAGGATTTCGAGTCAGGAGTCATCAAGTGGAGTGGCTTGTCCCGGGGAGATGATCAATACTACAGTTGGACACTGTGGAGCATCGAGGGGTGAAAGAAAGTATCGCTTAAGTGCGGAAGATGTTGTATGTATATCAGTTTCCACAGTATCCAATTGATAAAAATATGGATAGTATGTGGGTTAATCGCAGTTCGTTCCGGTGTCAGTATTCCCCTGGGTCTGCCAAGCATCTCTATTACTATGTATATCTCTCATAATTAGATATCCAAGTACCATCTGTGGACAAGTACAATATAAGCAAACACTAAGTCCATAGTCAAGTCCAATAGACCTAATCCATACGGAGTATAGTGTACCGAAATACATATCTATTTATGTTGTAAGTCCCTGAACACGGCCCATACCCGCGTTACGTGACACATGGGCTCCCCCAGCCGATAGCCCTTTTCAACTGGTTGCATCCCAGTGTTTCGGGCAAGGTTATTCACTCCGACTCCTGTCAGCGTACATCAAGCCTTGTATGCACTTAATGCAGCCAGCAATACGACTCAATGTTGGAAGAGGCGGTGGAGCAGATCAAGGTAGTATTGACAACCTAAAAAAATGACGAAAATCATTTATAGGTAAAAGCCCGTGAGTAAAACCAAAATAGAACCCGTGGAAGTCTGTGCGAGACATACGGAGTAGATTGCAGATAATGATCTTTGAGATCGGGCAACAACATAGGCCTATGTAAACAACTGAACCCCATTGATCAGCCAGAGTCTAGATGCTTCCATTCCCCTACTCCATATCGATAAATCTGGACTCTAAAAGACCTTACATGTGTATGTATACATACCCGAAGTACTGTTTCTATATGTGGCATCCCGTAGAATACGTGGCCTTGGGCCGAGGACGAATGCCCGTTTTTTTTTTTGTGAAGCCCTACAAGGAGTAGCAAATGGGCGGCCAAATTAGACGAGTGTCTAGCACCGGAGCTCCCTTGCCGAAAGGCGGCTGCTGTGTGACAAAGATTAAGCGTCGGCTGCATGGCAAGGCTGGTTTCCGCTCCGTGCTAGTGGCGCCAGAGAGCTCGGCAACGCATCGGCTCTATCCCAGAGCCTCAGGCATTGCTCGGTGAGGCCTACATAGATTGTATGGTATATTAAACGGCCGACATATTACACTGTACACCCAATTCAGGACATTTCAACTGCTTCCAATGCAAAGGTAATATTATATAAGTGGGCCATTGGAAATATGAACAAACCGCCCTTGCTGCGCCCTCATGCAATCCAGCGGCTGGATGCACTACATAATGCAATCGGCGTCCATATCATGATGCAGGGCGGAGTGGCGGAAATAATCCGATGGGTTGGTTGCACACCGCGTTTCAAGTGCGTTTCCGGCTCATCAGGTTTCCCGTCGTCAGGAACCCCTTGTCCCCCATAGCGCCGCGCCATTCAATCGACAACTGACCCAGCGTGGCACGACCGTCCCGTCGCATGTCCTTCTGGAGGATTTCAAGTCCCTCGGTCTGGCCCTCTTCCTGTTCCACCAAAAATGCTACCTGTAGAACATCCCGTGGATTGAGTGTAGGCAGAGACGAGGGTGACATGTCTGGGCTCATTGTGTTCCAATTCAACGATTTTGATTGGAAAGGTGGCTTGGGATTTAGTTTCGTTTGCTGTCCATCCCCCAACGTTAGCCAAATTGTTGAGCATTGCATTCCGGCCCAGCCGGATTTTCAGGTACAGCCGCGTTTCGGCGTGGAAAACCCAGTCATTCGCAGAGGATTAATGGGAAATTCATACCTTGACTATCACCGCGCCCTCGCCCACGTTTTCCAATTGTGCCTCCAGGGCAAACCGGAGCAACCTCGTTTTCCCGTACGGACCGAGTGATTTATTATTTATCTCGAGCGGCGGAAGTTCGGACGCCTTGGTCCGAACGCTCAAACAGGGCTGTGCCACAAACTGGTATAACTTTCGGAAGGTCCTGACCCGGCCACTAGCTGCTTGCGAGTCGGAGCCCATCTTCGTCTCTGTGTAGCTGACACTGACAGCCAGTATGTGATTTCCTTCTTCCTTCAAGTCAAACCGTACAATCTTTTGTAATGACTCGCCTATCTTCAGACCGTCTGTTGATGCGGAGTCGTTGGGCGGCTCCAGCTCCAGTGCCGCCACTGACGAAGGTGTTTGCATTTCCGCTACTATGCGCACGGATGTGAGGAGTCTCTCGTTGTCGTCATCGTGAATCTCATTATTCGCGCTAAGTGTGCATCCGAACGTCTCTCCGACGTAGACGGATCCGAAGGAGGGAGGTAGAGTAAGCTATTGCCGTTAGTAAACGGTTTCCTTGGGGCGCTTGGTCACCGTCTCACAAGAGGCGCTAAAATAAATTGATCATCGGAGTCACCGGACGGATAGCTTAGTGAGGCTTTCGTGGAGATTATAGAGTTAGACGTCGGGAGGGGATGCTGATAGGAAAGCGACGGCCGCGCAAGGCTGCGTATTAAGAGTTAGAGGCTGGCATCGACACAACGAATATGGATGATTTAACGTACCGTAACACTGATCAATTCATAATTAGCTTGCTGGTCCAACTATCGGTCGAGTTGTATTTACATACCTTTGAGGGAGACCCCATGTGGCTCCTTTGGGGCATCAGCGCCCGACAGAGCCCGTGGACGTGACATAGAGAATAAGTTCAGATATCAGCTCTAGGGCGAAGAAGTAAAGGGGTAAAGAATTAACTGCAATGGCAGGCGTTGCAGTATAGCCTCATCTTGTTGATGAAGACAGTCCACTTCTTCTCCACGAGCTGATAGCGATAGGGAAGCTTCCCCAAACAAACAGTGCAAACAGCCGCTCTTTCCCAAATAGGTGTGTCCACCCACGACCTCGAGACTTTCTACGTATTACTATTTGGTGCATAGGTTAACTATTTAGGCACCAGGATCTGCCAGTGTCGGAGAAAGCTCGGCTGTCACTGATGAGGAGGCTGGATCCATGGCTATAATGGCCGAGTACAATATACGGAGTATATGGCTAACAATCGGGAGGAAGATGACGTCACGGGATTTACTGAGCAGCTCATGGTCTATTGTCGATACGCATGATGCCAAGGGCAATGCTGCGACTGATGCCCTTATGGCCATACGCGCTGATGCGTCAAAGGACCGCAAATACGACGCCGGGAAGTATATCGGTCTTGGTTGTGACGCCAGTATCGACTCTCGATCAGCAATACCTAATTGGTGATGTCGAAGTGGATATAGATAATTACTATATCATATTAAAGGATTGCGATATCCACGTTGAGGACAATGGCAGACTAGTCACATTAGCTATGTCGGATATCCAATGATCTCTGATGGCGAGCAATTATAATTATACGATCGGAGGAATACTTATCTTGTGAATTTGCAAATGTGCCCCAAGGTTCTGGAAGGAGGTGGACTTTTTAATGCTGGATACATGAATTGAATGCCATGTTTACAATTTTGCATGTGAAGTGTAGACTACATTCACTCGCTACTATACTCGGTTAGGACGTCTTCTACGTGATAAAAAAGCAACAAAATGATCATTCATATGAAGTCCGGGTATCACATCAAGCCCTAATGGCCGAAGAAACAAAGAAGGACCAAGCTTCTCAACTCCCCAAAATCCAAACACCAAAAAAAAATCATTTATATACCCTTTTGAAGTCGTTGGCCTAGTCGAACAGTCGCAACACTAACACCTTCCTCTCCAGTCATCCACGACGGCATACGCTCAGGGTTAACGATGCCTAGCTCAGCAAGTTTGCGAATCCCGGCGATGACGTCGGAGCCGGAGAAAGTGAGTGACACGGCGGGCGTGGACGTAGAGTCGTCAATATCATCATCCTGCTGTTCACTGGAGCCTGGTTTGTCAAGCAGCCGGATATCAAGACGGTCCAGCGGTGCCTGGGCGAGTGATGACCCCAATGTTCCGAATCGGGAATCGATGGCCAGACGACGTTTCTTCGAATCCGGAGAGAGGGGACCTGTATCAACACCGCTGGATCTTCGTTTGGTCGATAAGCCATCGGTATTTTCTTTGCCTTCTGCTAGACTAGAATGACCCGCTCGGATATGCTCTTCAGGTGAGACTGTATTGGAGGGTCGAGGGTCCAAAGGACTTCCTTCAATAGCTGCGTCTGCAAATATGCTAAAGGCGCCATTTGACGCCGTTGATCGTCCCGGTCCGCGAAGGGCTAAGAGTGTGGGCAGATTCTTTGCTGCCAGTGATGTCGCTTGCAGAGAGAATCGTTCCTGCGGACGAGATAGAGCTTTGGGAATGGAATCACGCACCAGGCGCTGGAGAGTTCGAGTATCAGTAGCCACCGAGCTTGTCGAAGGAGCAGACTTTGATCCGGTGGATGCTGCTATAGAAGTGTAGACGTAGGGGCAACTATCCGGGAAAGCGACATAGATGACTCGGGACGAATCAGTAAAGACGTCGGCTGCCTGCCTAGGAGATTGATATGGCGAGTCAAGGACAAAGATACGTAAGAATGTCAGCGGCAATGTTGCCGAGTGGGCGAGGTGATAGTGAGCCTTGACCAATGGGGAGATTTCTCGCTGGAGGCCTTGCACAAATGTTGCCCCTTGCATGCGCGGTACAGAACTGGACCAGTCAGTTGGCGGTAGTTTCTTGGAGACCTTGCGCTTTGTATCAATGCGACTGAGCTCGAGTGCGGTCCATCGAAGGCTGGCGGGGTGATCGTCCATATAGCGGAGGTCTGCCATGGCCAGCTGGCGTAGTGTGATTCCATGCCGCCAATCGCCTTCCAGAATTCGTTCGAGCACTTCGCGCTTTGCGCCCTTTCGGTCCTGAAGATCTTCATATACTTGGCGGACTTGTTCGATTGTCTCCTCCGCGGGGTAGGGGAGGGCTTCGTCATCGTCGGGGCCATCTTTTTCGTCAGTCTGTAGGTATGGTGGAAATGAGGCGATGTTGCGATCGTCAAGCCATATAAATGCCAGATCTAGTAGTGCTTGTCTGGATAGCTTTCCCAGGGATTTTGTGAGGGACGGGGTCGATGAGGGAATGCGGAGGTTATTTGGAAGACTGGCTGTTGTCGGGGCGCGAACTGTTTTAGGGCGCGCCATGGCAGTAGTTGACAAGATAGTGGCACAATTCCTGGGGATGTTCCAGAACACCTTATATCAACGGCAGGTGCATGCCTCTCAATCCATATCTTGATCTGTTTCCCTGCCTATCCAAGTTCTCGAGTCCAAAATCCAAAATCACGCGTCAACAAACACGCACGTGACGATAAGCGATAAAGATTGGGAGCCATCTGATTATGTCATCCAGGTATGGAACCTGCAGGTGCCCACACGACATAGAAGTAAGAATTTGATTCCTACAACATACGTTGTACAAACTTCACGACGAGATTACACAACATAGCTGTAGTACAGCATAAGTTGTTTCATAGCCACTCCTTTTCCCACATACCAAACACCGAGGCTTGGCGCCAATTTATCACCCGTGGCGCCATTCATGTCCTTGTGACTCCCAACCAACCAACCCAATAGTGGTTTCAAGGTCGCACTAACTGAAAGGGGAACAATGTACTCGGCATTGGCCTATCATATGCTGATATATATATTCTGCATTATTGGACGGATATGAATGCACAAGGAATTATACCGAGGCCCTTGCTGACACAATGTGGGGCATGATTAACTAACCTCCTAGGGAAAGGTTGAAATGTTGAAAGCCACATGTGGATGGTCAATTATTGTTTCAATCGAATTCTTGAACCCTTAACCTTCGACTTCTCTCTCAATCCCGGGAATGCACGTATACGCTCTCTATATCTTGGAACTGTGAACCAACCTTTCCTTCCGAACCATGCAGGCGAAGGAACCACACAAAAATGTTGCCGTAGTTGGCACGGGAATGGCCGGGTTAGTGGTCGCATACATGCTCAGGAGCGATCCTCAAGGGAGATTCGACGTGGAAGTTTTCGAAAAGGTACAAACTTTCGCATCCGTGACGTCGCTCGCGCGAACTAAAGTTAATCCCAACAAAAAACACAGCAAGAGAAACTTTCGCTCGATTCCGCATCATACAATCTCACAACCCAAAATGGCGGAAGCGCAAAGACCCAACGCCTCGATCTTCCCATGCGCACATTCGCCGACGGATACTACGAAAGTCTCAAGCGAATGTATGATTATTTCGGTATCCCATACGGCTCGCTACGGTTTATTTACTCCCTGTCGACACTACCGAACAACCCCACGAAACAAACCTCCCCATACTTCATGCATTCCTCAAATAACCACCAAATACCTCCCCTGCGCCCGGAGGGCTTATCATGGACCGGGTGGCTGCTCGAGATTTGCTACCTGGCAATATGCTATTATTGGTTCAAAGTCTGCTGTTTCTTTGTAGCGCCCAAGACTCTGGAGTCGTCTGGCACGGAGGAGTCTCTGCGTCAATATTTGGATAGGATTATGTTGCCCAGTTACTACGTGAAGCACTACTTCCTGCCGGTCTTCGCGAGCGTTGCGACTTGCTCACACGACGAGTTAATGGATTTCCCGGCTCTTGATCTGGTCGGTTATGGGAGACGAACGTTCCGTAAGAACCACTACACTGTTCTTGGTGGAGTCCAGCATGTCGAGCAGAAGCTGTCCGAAGACTTGACGTATAAACTTGGCGCGAAGGTTACGGCAGTCGAGAACATCGGCACAAAAGTTCAAGTGAGCTGGACAAATACCCAGGATGGCCAGAGCAGCTCACGGCTATTTGACCATGTCATTCTGGCTGTGACGCCTGATGTGGTTGGCGCGATTTTCCAGCCTCTCCGAAGCGCAATGAAGGCCGTCCCCACTACGACCGTTCAATCCGTTGTGCACCGTGACTTTTCCGGGATTGGTGATTCTAGCAAATCCCTCTGGTCGCAAGTTTCCTTGAATCGCGGCGAATCACCACCTCACCCACTCCACATGTGCTCAAATGCTACAGCGACGGAGACGATCCATGAACATCCGTCAGCCGCTCTTATTACGACTTATCCCATTTCTCCGATTGACCCCGATAAGGTCTTTTACACTGCCACATTCACTCGTGTCTTGCGATCGTCCACCAGCAGACAAATCATCAATGAGATTTTCAGCCAGAAGAAGTTTGGGGATGACAAGAGCCAATTTTGGCGGAATGGAGATGGAAATGTCTGGCTCGTTGGTGGTTGGTGCTGGGACGGGATGGTACTGCTTGAGGGATGTCTCGCTTCCGCGACAAGGGTCGCAAACGCCCTTGATGTCGAGGTGCCCTGGATGAAAGACTCTTCTTTATAACGACCGGTCAAGAACGTAACGAGACTTTTTTTGCATATTCATTTCGGGCATTCATAAATGTTAATATACCTGCAGCGCATCATACATAGCATGTACAATATGAATAAACTCATCTCGAACATCCAACTTTTGCCAAGCTATACTAATCTGCTACAGTCTGTGGTTTGCAGGCCATTTATTCAGATCCGCTTTTCTCGCCGTCTCTTTCCACCTCGAATTGACCACAAGGTTCACCTTAGAATCCTATACAAACCAGTTGCGCGATGATAAGAGTACATGGCAACGGACACTATCTTACCCTGGTCAGAAAGTCTATCAGTGGAGTCTAGTGCATCACTCACACATATGGAATCACCGAGATAATTCGATAATGGCGGACAGACATTCAATGGCCCACAGCATCCAGGCAGAGGACCATTATTGATACACGTGAAGCCACCCGGGCACTGATTTTTGGAATTAGTTCAGAGTTCTACAATGGCATAGTTGGAAACTTACACATGTGTTCGACGATTGACAGAAAGGCTGGTTCGTAGGACAACTAATACAATTACCTCCAACGCAGCCTCCACCTCCCGGCCCTAGATTGCACTATCAAAGGAAACACCAGTTAGTATGCCCATCCAATGAAGGGGGGGGAGCACATACAGCTGTACTGCACGATCCGCAATGTTTCGCATCAGTCGTTAAATCAGTACACGCTCCATCACAGCAAGCCGGTAGCAAGCCAGGACATGGCGCAGCAGTGCAAGATCCACAATGCTGCAAACTGGTAAATAGGTCTGTACACTGCCCAAAGCAACAGCCAGGCTGTGCTCCACCACACGGCAAAGCCGAACATGAGCTGCAGTGATTAGTGTCGGAATTAAGATCGACACATGTCCCCGAACAGCAAGCTGGATTAACACCAGTACACGAGCTTGCTAAGCATGGTCCACAGTGGGCGGGATCTGTGCTAAGATCCGTACATATCCCGTTACAGCAGGCGGGGTTGGTGCCTGTGCATTTGCTACCGCATAGGCCGCAGGTGTCCGGGTCAATGGCTGTGTTGGTGCAGGTTGCGGAGCAGCAGGTTGGTGCTTCGCTAGTGCACTATCAAGTAAGATTTGTGTCAGAAGGTCGACTTCCAATGTTATATACTCTAGTTAAAATAGGAATTCACTCACAGTTATGTTACATGCATGACAGCTGGCGACATCGTTATCGAGATCTGTGCATACACCAGAGCAGCAGGCGGGCTGGGTCCCGGCCTTGACATGATCGTAGAAAGAGCCGAGAACCCCTGATAGAGGGTCAGAACTTAATATATATGTGCCGCGCGCAGAGCTCAAGGGGTTCTAACCTAAAAGAAGAAAGGCGAGCATGTGTACAGAGCCACATGAAGTGACAGTCGACAACATAGATGAGAGAGAAGGATACAAAATTGATAGGCCTTATATCGCGAAATCGACATGGTATGTGGGACTGAGACGGCCGTCTTTTGCTGCGTGTGTTACTTAATTCGAAAGTATAGTCTTCGTGACTTCTTCTCTATGCTCACAAAACTGAGAACCCGGGCTATGGGTCGTAGATCAGTGTTAATTAATGGATTCTATTCTTACATAAAACACATTATGTTTATGTATTTGATGCCCATTCTCAACGGATATGTTCAGGCCATAATGGTTGGAATAAGTCAGATATATTGTTACCTGATCTTCGTTAAATGTCACAGTTGCATTATGTAGGGGAGTGTCGTTTGACATGTGTTAAAACACCGAGCACGGCTCTCAAAGCTTCGTGTTACCGGTAAATAGTCCGAGCAAGTTCTGTTAGATTCAGAACTAGCTCTGTAAGCCAACAGTATTGTCAAAATATGAGCTTATTCATCTCTAGTCTATTCTACAACATATGTCGAAAGTCTCATAGATACAAGACGCATGGCCAACGTCCTTTAGCAGTGCAATGATAGACATACTATGTGGGAATTAAATTCTTAAGCTAAATAAAACAAAAACAAAAACATACAACAGTGGAGATTTGCTGGTGGTCATCCACCCAACTAACTCACGGCTCAAGCTCGGCCAATAGTTCGGTGGGTGTCGCCAGGGTGAGTAGGATGAAGGTGGCGCCGCTTTTGATTCCCCGTGCATTAGTAGTGATAGTTATTGAAGGTATTCCAACTGGTATGGATCTCTCCAGTGCTCTCGCACGTGTAAATCCACGTAATGACCCCACTTAGCAGACAATCCTTCGGCATCCACGCAAATAGCTCGGCTGAGCCTGTAGCATTAGACTTATTCCCCCAAATACTTGCACTGTCTGCTACACAGCGAAATTTTGACGCAAGAATCTATTTTCCAAAGCCTACCAGCGACTATAAAGTACGATATTGCAAACATGGAATCTTCCCTACCTGAACAGCTGTTTCTCGATCTTCCCGTCGCAGACGTCATGAATAAAACGGCGAGAATACGAATGGTCGAACCATGGGCATCTCGCTACTGCATAGCGATTTCTGAGAAGCGCTATGGAGATGCAATCTACGCGCGATACCATATAGATGGACGAGCCAAAGACGGTATATACACAGATCTACGCGACAATGGCGATAGACCATATGTATTACACGAAACTAGTGTTTACGACATGATTATGGAAGACGCTCAAGGATATGCGCAAGGCTCCCCTGAACTTTATCGCGATGCACTGCTTTTCTACAGCAAAGCAAGTCTAAATGACAATCGACGAGATATCATTGAAGGACTCTTCAAGCTAGGATCAAACGGTTCTTGTATGTCTCATCTTCCATTGAATCATGGGAGTACCCCTAATAAGCTTGAAAAAAAAAAAAACTTGAATCACGCCATTTAAAGCTGTTTACCAGGATGTACCTCCTGAGCGTGTATCTTTCTGTGGGATGGGTGCAAGGGCGGTGGTCAAAAGACATACATTAAGGACATCATCTCTAACGGTTTTGTCAAATTTCTGAACTGGGGTGCGTTACAACGTTCCCATTATGTACACACACACACACACACACACACAATTCATTAATGCCCGACGGCTGGGCCGAAAGGCAACTATCACTAATCTACCAGTACATGCATGTTTAGGCATGCGCCGTGTCTCATTGGAGCCCATACAGTATTTCCTTCGGCATTGACTTCTCATAGTTGGACCCTATGGGTTAGTATTACTTAGTAGAGTGGCTTGAAGGCGCTTCTTCAAGTGTTCAACATCCTATCCTCGGCAGTTGAAGCGCGTCTACCGTTTGTCACATGGTTTTAGGGCTAGTAGGTGGGGGGGTATTCTAACCGCATTCGTTGGCTAGGTTAAGTGGCCTCAAGTCGGCCGTAGCAATCGCAAATCGTATTGAGGCTCGCACTGCTTCCAAATTCGGTTTCCACTTTTGATCATCGGAGGGTGGCTTCCCTCCTAAGAAGAAGGACGTATTACTTCGGTGAGTGTGGGTGCATTGCAGCATTTCCTTCCGGTGGGCGGTCTACTTCCAACATCGAAATAGAAATAGAAATTGGTCTACGGTCTCTCTCGCTTGTCCACATGTATATTGACCTGTCTCGACGGCATTGATTCGAAAGAGATATCCATTGAGTCTTGCCATGCCGGTACGGAGCTGGGCCAGTACGCTTTCATTGTATGCTCCTACTCCGGGATACTTCCGAAGCCCTTATGCTACAAGATCCGCTTGTAGTCCCTTCCTATCTATCCTCCTCGACGATGAGCTCAATCTCGCATGCCGATCTCGACCGAATACCTTACCATTTCTTTAGGAATCTGAGTAGGAGAAAGATAAGATCTATGACAAGGACCCGCTAAGCTGTATTCACTACTTCATAGAATTGCGGGTCACGCTGAACAATAAGGCTGTGGTGAAGGACACCGAAGAAGACCTAGTATTAGCCCCGAGCATATACTGACGTTTAGTGCTGGAAGAGAAGCTATAGAAAGCCCTTCGGGAGAAAGTTTCTTATAATAAGAGGATCAGGGTCGATAATACGGCGATTATTGTATCGGTCAATAGTCGTTCTCAGCGTGATCTAACTAAACGTTTTAATAAAACTGATATAGTCTGGATACCAATCGAGAAACAACTCTAGACGTGGTCTAGTCGCTTCTCCTGTGGCAAAAGACTTATAAAGATATATTTTAGCTATATAGAAGATCACATTTCTCTGTCCGCTGGGTAGAAAGGGGAGAAGAGGAAAATTATCTGTGATAAGGAGAATACTCGATAATCGAGACGTATAACTAGATACCGAAGAACATATAAGTAGACAGCAAGTAGTTTGGCGTTACGTCTATGATATGATAAAATGTGATTTAGCTATATACTACCTCGGCCCTTACTACTAGGTGGATCCAGTGGTAAAAAAGCATTATCCATTGTGTACGCAAACCCTTAAGCGATTGGATACCTACGCCGAGAAAGGCGGTCTTCTAGAGATGTATAAAGATGTCCCCAATGCAATCTGAGACAAGCTTTATATCTAAGAGTAGTAGCGACAGAGAAAACCAACCGAAAGACCAGTTATATTCCTAGAGACGGTTCGCTGTATCTACCTATCAATATTATTGCTCTCTAGTCTCACCTACCTGGATTGGATGTGACGGCTTCCAATGCAGCCGCTAACCAAAGCGGCTCGAAGGAGATAGGTCCATTGAAGATTCCCGGGTTCGGAGACTTAGCCGTTAAAGAATATGGTGAGTGGCTCGCATCAACTTTATCGGATGATACCCTTAAGGCTGCATTCCGGCAAGCGTCCGATATGACGCTGTCTGATGGTTTTGACCTTATGCACATATATAAGGACCAAAATCCAGTGTTACGAGCCAATTCGATTCAGGAGAAAAGAGTGCAATTCAGACCAAATTCTAAGTACGAAGAAGAAAGGAAAAAAGAGAAACTACTTGGGAAGGTATAGGGGCATAGTCGTTCCTGCTCCGTTTGGCAAGTACGATCCTTCCTAGATCGTTATATAACTCCCGGCTAAGAATGCATTTAGTCCCTAAATGTGGGTTTATCATCGTTAACGTGGTCGTCTAAGAATCTATCTTTATTTATATTATTGGTCTATTCTTATAATTGTATCGGTAGTCTAGGCTTCTGTAGGTATTGGTTATGGAAGGCTTGATCTTCTTGGGAGTATTCTTGAAGTTACTTACAGAAAACTATTGTAAGTCTAGGTCGTGTCCTAGCCACTGAACGCGGTATTGTAGTTTTTGATAGTATATCCTAGCGATAAGAATCTTATCGACTTCCTACTCGTTAGTTTTACTAATCCTGAGTAGTGGTAGTAGGTGTCACGATTGGCACTTGCGGGACTCGTACTTTCCCGTCTGGGATTGTACTGTTGGTCGTTTGCGCAGGCAGTCGCACCTTCCTTCTGGGGGAAACGAGAATAGGGCTTTGCCCCTGGAGGGGTATAAAAGCCCATTTGTTGTTTTCACGTTTGTTTCTTTTCTTTTCCTTTCCCATACTTGATATTCGATTAGAAATGCACTTCTTTTGTTAAAAGGAATCTGGCACGCAACAGTAGGTCGGGGTATTGTCTAAGTAATGGTTTAGTGATTGCTGCTCTTTAGAGTTTGCTTAGATAGAATATTAGGTATACCTTGATCGATTCGGGGAGTTTAAGGCGATAGGAATATCCTACCTTCTCGGTGATCTTATATAGGCTACAGTCTTCCTCTATATATCTCTTCTTCTAGTATAGAAAGTACCCCTCTAAAGAGTACCTAAAACCTAGAGAAGAATCAAAAAGAGCTTTCGAAGCTATTCGGTATAGATACCTTTATACCGAAGCTCTAACGAGGCCTATAATGTGCGTTCTACTATTATAAACATATAGCGAAGGGCTTACGATAATAAGCGATACCGTCAGTTGTATAAGGGAGACACAGGCCCCTCGGAAACGAAAAATCACTAAGAGAGAGATTCCTGAGATCGCAGACTCTGGTATACTCAGTACAAAAGATGCCAATCGATCAATTAAGACCAGGAGAGAGAAAGAAGCTTTACAAGAGAGGAAGAAGTTGGATAAACAGTGGACAAGATTGTACGGCTGACCGCCACCCAAGTCGCCTAGTAGGGAGAATTCTACATTATCACATAGTATGGTAGCTTCGCAACAGGGAGGGGAATCTTTTTGGGTAGATACTTAGGGTGAAAGATAGTAATTAATATGAATGGCTTCAAAATTGGGCTTACGGTGTGAATTGGGTTTACGGTGTGGTGCACCCCCAACCCGAAGGCGGTGGGGGGGACTGGAAGGCACAAATATAGTGGCACAAACCTCCTAGGCGGTCTGGTTCTGCCACTTCAATACCATTCACCTAATCAAGAAGGCGGTATCTCTACGCAGAAAAGTGGGGTTATATTGAACTATAAGGATGTCCTTTCGCCCTTCGGGGCATACGGTGAAAAGAAAATATACAGAGAAGATTAGCATGGCCCCTGCACTAAGGATGACACGCTCAATCAAAGAGAAGTAACCCATTTTTTTTTTCTTTTACACCAGCTCAATTGATGAGATAGAGTGCACCCTCTTTGTATAATTATTCTACTACTCCGTTTGTATATACTACACATACTACGTATAAAGTCACGTGTTCATCTCCGTTCGACTCTGCACGTTGTCGTAAATGGCAGTTTTATTAAGCACCAGATTATTTCCTGGTTAGCATACTCTTGCTTCTGGACTAAGTTAGGTCAATGAGAGTTCCTATGAATATCCAGATTGCGTTCATACATTCATTCTCATCCTATTTTTCATCATACAACCCAATATCCAGTGGGGACCAAAGTGATATATTCTCTTCAGCCAGAAAAGGCTATGAAAAAGGTGTAAAATGTTTAGATTGAATTTATCCCTGTTGCCACAGCAATGATCTGATGATCATCAGACCGACAGAAGAGCCCGATATACAACATCATATTAGTACAAGTATAAGAATGGTGTGAAGATGTTTGAATCAAGATCGCTTCGTTGAGACATGCAAAAACATAGCCGCTAAAATATGACTTTTAATAATTACATTTCCCTAGTGGGAATATGATCGTGTACAAAAAACAAGACAATTATATGTTCAGTGCTGGTGCACCGTCTCCTCCGCCTGCTCGTCGGCCTCCTCAGCTGCGTGTCCCTCCTGGACAGCTTCATAAAATGGTGCGAACTTGCTCTTCATCCTGAGTCTCTTTCCGAAGAAGTAGAATCCAATAGGAATCGGAACAAGGACGGCTGCGACACATCCGAGAAGCGTAGCGGCCCACTGGATACCCATGCCATGGAACATTTGGCGTGAGAAGAGCGGGAAGCTGGCTGCCACCATTGAGCGGCAGAATGTGTTTGCTGCGATGGCTGATGCGGCACTGTAGATAGTATGTTAGATAAACCCATGGCAAGTTAGAGGAATGGGGAATATGACGTACAACATGAGATATGTGTCAATCAGATAGTTGAACAATTGGATGAAGATGACCAGAAGGCCAAATCCAGTAAACAGGCCACTCAAGGTGGGTACGATCCAGTGGACGTTACCACTAAAGCCAGCCCACCCAAACCAGAAGAGCCCAGCAGCGAAGAGACCACCGCCGAGTATTACAGGCGGGAGACGCCACTCGGGAATGGGGACACCACCGTTCATTTCGAGTTTCTTATTGTAGGCCTTGCTCGAGATTATGATGTACGCCGCGGCGGTGAACAGGCCCACCACCATGCCGAAGAGTGGGAGACCTCCAACACCGGCGTTCATCCCGTAAACACCCTGGAAGACCAGAGTATAGGCGGTCAAGAAGCAGTAGAGCAATCCGTAGATAAAACTCAGGTAGACAGTGACCGCTAGGATCAAGGGTTCGTTAATCAGCAGTCGAAGCGGGCGAGAGAAGTTGTTCACGATCAGGTCGCGAAGATCGACCTCGATCTCCTCTTGCTTTGCATGAATTCCCCAGTTCTTAGTCCGACGACGTAGCTCCGCGGCCTTAGCCACAAGCACAACAGGTGGGTATGACTCCCTCAGGAAGAAAAGATTCATGATGAAAGCGGAAAAGCCCATAATCGCGGGGATATAGGCGGTCCAGCGCCAGCCGAGATATGACATGTTAATGAAGCCTCCGATGAAAGGTGCCACGAGAGGGCCCAGGAACACCGTTGAGGAGAATATGGCAATGGCAACACCACGGGTGCGGTTGTCCCAGATATCAGAGAATACAGCAGCCACGACTGCCAAGGGACAACTGCCGAACATACCACAGAAGAACCGGCAGATCATGAGTGTCTGCAAATCTTTGGCGACTGCCACTCCGATATTGAACACGCCAAATCCGAACATGGCGATGAGAATGGGGATTCGACGGCCCTGGAGTTCGGATAGGGGAGCCCATACCAAGGGACCTGAGGCGTAGCCGACGATGTATAGAGAGCTGGAGAGGATGGCGACTTCGAGACTGACGCCGAAGTGTTTTGAAACATTACTCGATGAAGCACTAAAAACGGCGGAATCGAAGGTGGAACAAATACTGGTGAAGGCGAGCATGGCACTGATGTAACATCTGGATTGCAAAAGTTAGTAAGAACGCTGCACGCTAGATACGCAGTACGGTATAGACATGGTGAAACTCACTTCTTTTTCACAGACCAGTTCAGTGGGTATAATGGGTCATCTGGCCCATCAAACTCCACAACGTAATCCTCCCGTTCAGGGAGAGGTGGAGGGTAGGGCTTGCCTCCACCGAAAGCTGGCAATGGAGTCCGTGATGGTCGCGATCGAAGACTCTCGCCCACAGTGAGCGCATGTTGAGCGCGTTGCGTCTCAGTCCTGCTCAATGCTCGCGACGTGCCAGTGCGATGGCGTTCCAAGTCCAGCTCTGTATTCCGCGATTGCAGCCTATGAATCTGTGGGTCATATTCAAAGGAGCTGCTTGAGCCAGTCGACGATCCGATAGAGTTTGATGTGATCCGTCTCTCTATCTCAGCCGAGGTCCGTGGCTTTTCGCTTGATAGATGCGATTCAATCACAGGCAGCTGATCATCCATATTGCCAAGGGTGACCGCTTCACGGGTATAATCTGGACGATCTTGTAGATCTTCTTGGCTGCAGTATCTTTTTCCCTGTTGGGACTGTCAGACCAGAAAAGTATCAGGTGCCTGGAATATATAGGGGAAAAGCTTTTTTCGCCATCAAGCGCGGGCGATTTGTTTATAAAAACAAGCCCGAAAAAAAAAAACCAAAAGAAAGGAGCGCCGAAAGCAAATGTGATCGTCTAGACCCACCACTTAGCGGCTTCAGCCTTGGATAACTGCCGAACTAGTTGCCTGAAACATATTGAGCATTCTTGGAAGGCCAGTCAGACTACTCAGCAATTAGCAATTAGCAATGAACAAAGACGATACAGTGAGCTGGATTATAATTTAGATTGACTGCCAATAAGAATGAGCAAGTATACAACATTCCTTCTCAGAAATGAATCCCCCTTGAGTCATGTGCCCAGATATCAGGTGGTGCCAGTCACCGCCTCTTTACGTCATCATGAGTCAGGCCGCCACGGGCTCGGGTGGCTTGCATGTGCTTTGGCCTAGAAAGACCTTATAATCTAGTATAGAGTCCGGACTAGGCCTCGGATAGTAGAGCGAAGTTTCTTCACCCAAAAGCAGCACATACCCTTGGTGTAAACTGTATCCTCCAGGGCAGGAGTGGAGGTTGGGCATCTATGGCGACCCACAAACCCACAAGCTAGTACTATAAAATATCCACTTCCCACTCCCGAGGTCCCTATAATATAGAAATATAGACTGAAAAGAAAGCGATTAGGAGAGTTGTTGATGATATTGGAGCGGCCATTCTTGCTGAATTCATTTAGAATCGTCTTCTTTGTTGTATATAACCTTCCACAACGTCCAAACCCGAGGAATTTTCCCCTTTCAAGAGCAGGGTCATACAAGTCATTACGCAACAAGCGATTTTCTGAAACCTAGAGCTCATAAGAGTCATAACGCCAGGACTGACAATTGCGCCCGATGGTACCCAACATTCTTTGGCTAACTTCTTTTCACTAAATTGAACTTCCCCTGAGAATTGAATAGAAGATTCTGGAGATTGCTTGCCTGCCAAGAACTTCATCCGAAGTATCATTTAGATACATCAGCGCGCCATGTAGTGTCGTTAGGTCTCCACATCACTGGCGCTTGGAATATTCTACAAGCTGCTGGTGTACAACGTAGGAAGACTAGGGGGTCCTGTGGGGCTCCTGGGTGCAATTTGTTGAATGCGCTAGTGAGCACGGTTCATTGTGAATAGCTCAATATCAAAAAACATACAAATCCGAATACAGATTTATATGGTAGGAGTGCCTTCAATGTTAAGAAACATACAGACTTGTACGGTCGGAACATCTTCAAACCACCTAGACTTAGATAAATATAGTGGGAATATCTAGAATGGGGCAAGCTACAGTTTTATACTATATGAATAGCTTTATTTTCAAACATACACAATCTGTCAAAGAATAGGCACGGCCTTGCCGCAGAAAGCACTGCGGATAGAGAGCGAGGCGAATATGCGCAATGATCGATCCAGGAGACTTTTGACATACTTACTCATTCTTATCATACTTAGACAAGAACTCTGCTGGGGAGAACAGACTCTAGAGTAACTACGGCGTAGAAAGCGTCGAAGCTGCCTAATCCATCGGTGTACCATTTATACTTCACCTGACACTCGAGACTGCGAGCTTAGCCTCTAGGCAGTGTGCTGAAGGCTCTTAATTCGGTTTGTAACGTGGCATGTACTGCGCTCGCTAATTTTGCGTGTTCAGCAGGGCTAACAACTTGCTGGGAGGCGTTTGCCTGAACAGCGATACAATGGAGCCATTGTATGATACTCGGGATACTAGGATGAGTGATAACAACACAAGGGACGCCGATCACGAAACTATACCGCTTATAGAAGTATACTTGAGATATTGTAGCATTAAAGCAGACTTTTATACCGGACCTAGCAAGACCTTTCCAGAGAGAATGGGCACAACGAGTCTCCTCCCCAGCATATGAGCTTTTCTAACATACAGAAAAGGGAGATAGAAAGCACACTCAGCCCATAGTTATAAATCCATGGATCTTGAAGGTTAATAATACATGAAACTCCCGAAGTGTCTTCCTTACCCGAGGTCGATGTCTTGAAGGCTAATAATACATGAAAATCTCTCGGTGTCTTTGATAAAGAAAGCGACGTCAGGGCAGGAAAATCAGAATACAGGACAAGCAAAGCTAAACGATCTCCTTTAAGCTTCCGTCAAAATCAACATAGCTCTCTAGAATGAGATCCCCCCAGAACTTTTCATCAACCGACTCCCCTCTGGCCTCAAGAATTGATCGCGGGATAGATCTATACTGGATGGCATCGATGCAATCCCTTTGTCCCAGGATCATGCCTGACCGGAAATTTGGGATTGCTTCTTTATCCACGACCCATGCGATCACGGTCATTGTAAAAAGCGTGTTGGTAAACTCGACGGCGAAGGAAAGCTGGACGCGAGTGCCGCTCGAATTGGTGTACGGCATATGGATTGAATCTGACAGATGGGCTTGGAAATCTTGACTTCAGATATCTTCGTGATGATAGTGGCGGTAGCACCAGTGTCCCAGATCATTTCAACTCCATCGAGGTGGCATTGCGGCATACCCACATCCCAATCGACAGCACTGATTGTTGAGTTCTCGACAATAGATACGGGCGTATTCTCTGTGCGCAAAGCGCGGATTTCGAGAACAGAAGCTCGCGGTGGAGGCATGTTTTCGGCCTTCTTCTTCAACGCGGCATGGTGTTCGCGAGAGAGCGGCTCTGGAAAACCTGCGTATTCGAGCCTGCCCGTGGTTCGAATACGTCGGCTTAATGCTGTGGGGGGGTTGTTCTCCAAACTGATATTTTCGAGGGCACTTTGTCGTAAAGCTGCACGTCGGTGTGGATTCGTGGTTGGTAGAAAATGCGTTCCGGAATGCCATACACACAATCCAGACTTGCAGCGAGAGCTTCTACGCACAGCGGGTGATTGGAGGTAAGGGAGACGCGAAGTTCACTGTGATGATCGTGCAGCTTCTTGGCGACTTCAGCCAATAGCATACTTGGTGGATATCTCTCGGACAGATCCATGTTTCCGGGGTTCAATAGTCAAAGCTTGTACCAGACAATAGACTAAGAAAATCTGATGAGAATCAACAATGAGTTCATTCGGGAAGGTGTATACATACTACGGGCCCCGTTCTATGTGGGGAAAAGGGAATTAGAGTACCTGGCCTAAGCCTATTTGGGAGAAAAAGGATTGGAAAGTCACATGATTGCGGAGCGAAGCGAAGCAATTAAATAACCTTGTGTGCATGTCTTTTCATAGATTAGTTACTAAAGCAGTTTCTCAAGCATTTTTTCAAGCGGTTGCTAAAGTGGTCACTTAAGTAGTTGACGATAAAGCAGTTGATCAAGCAGTTAATAATGATATCACAAAGGGGACTTAATTTTATCAGTGGTTTATATATAAGTTGTAGGTACCTACTGTCTTACTACTACCACATGGCAGGAAATATGCCTAATTGTGAAGGCGGTACTGAAATTATAGGCAGGGGGAGAATAAGCCAGTAAGAGGGGGGCTTTGCGTAGCATTAGGAGTTGGAATCAGTCGCTTCGCTCTGCAACAACTATCTGAAGGCCTTAGACGGTCGAGGTCCCTAGTATTACTGTAATATAGGTTATGTAACATATAAGCTTGTAGATATCAGAGCCATTGATATTGTTTGGTTTTCATGATATGTACAACTTAGCTTGCCTTGTAGATCGATAGGCATACACTTTTGAAGTAAAGGCTGCCTAGATGAATACCGAACACCCTCCTCTCGATAGCGGCTCACAATACTGCTACACAAGACAACATACCCACCATCCAACCCCTCATTACCTCCTCGCAACAACAACAACACCCCTAACAACCCTCCTCTTAGCCCACCACGCAAAAACAAAACTCGCCGCACGGAACTTCCCCAGCTTGATCCCAAACGGCCTCGCCTCCTCAGCCCTGCGCTTAATGAAATCCGCCAACCCCCCAAAAGTGTGCTGCGAGATATCCCGGATCTGAACAGAAGCAGGATTATACCCAGCCGTAACAAGTAGCTCCACATATTCCTTCTCGCAAACAAAATTCCCAAACGGCGAGTTCGTGCCCCAGCACACCAATCGGAGGAGGATACTTTCGTACCAGGTTATACTGTCAGATAGTATCAAGTCAAAAGCCATGAACGAGGCATTGAGGTTGTCGTGTGCATAGCCTAGGAGAGGGAGACGCGAGGGGCGGAAGTGATAGAATGTGTCTAGGGCCAGGAGCCATGTAGACGTGTTATCATTGTCATTTTCATTTTGGTTACTGGACGCGTCCTCAAGCGCCGTGATTGATTTCTTCAAATCCCCAGTCCAAGAGCTGGGTACTGCGGCGTCTGCGCAGAAGATATCTGCCTGGAAAGAGCTTTCACTCTTTCGCTGCAGATCATGGATACGACGTGAGCCGAGCGCGGCCTGTGCGGGTTCCAGCGTGATCCCGATATAGGAATCTAGGCGTGGCTGAGAGGGGGATTGCGGCTTGGTCTTGCTATGGCGAGACCGCAGGCCTGACTCTGATGCTTGGATGTCTGACTGGGTACTGGAGCTTGGGGCAGAGGTTGCTGTCCTAGTCCCAGTTTCAGGATCGGACTGGGCTGTAGAAGAAGAGCAATTGAAAAACTTCGCCATGTATAACGACTGATCACCACACCCACACCCGACATCCACGATGCTCACGGCAGATGCCTTCTCCGTTGTTAGCGCAGCTGTGAGGACCTGGTCTAGAAGCGCTTGGCAGGCTTCTGGGAAGTCATTTGTATACTAGTAAGCGGGTCAATGTGGATTCAAACCAGACAATTATTTAATTGAGTGGACTCACTTCCCAGTAGCCCATGTTCATCCACATACTCTGCTGTGGGAGCTGTATGTTGAGGACCGCATGGTCTAGACCGTACACGTTTCCGCGAGATTTGCGTAGGGTGCGTTTCAGGAATTCTAGCATTTCTGGATATATCGGGGGATGGGAGTAGATGATCCACGCCTTTTTGTCGAATTTGCAGAGCCGGGTGTTGTGGAGCTTGCTGGGTGGATCAGTCCGTTTACGAAGGTGTATAGCGGCCAGTCGGTACCATTGCCGAGCGAGGCCGGTCGAGGGTGGAAACATTTAAGTATGTAGATTGAAGCAAAGGTTATTTGGTGTTTAGTTAAAACGGATAATCTACGCAAGTCGGACAGGCGTAAACCGAGCTGAAAGACATGAAAACTTGCATCTAGAATTCTTGTAACTGCATGAGAGACATCACTCATCCACCCACCACCCCCTGGGCCTGCAGATAAAATCTGAAGTAGCTCTGGCTGCTAGAAACAAGGAAAACAACATCGCTGGAAAAAGAACACTATGAACAAGAAGGCAAAGATGGTGAGATGGAGCTAACAAGCAAAAGCCCAGGACATTCACCACCTGAAGCAGCAGAGTAGAGTAGCAGGGCAATCAAATAAGACTGGGGTTTCTTTTTTTTTTTATTTTTGCCGGTTTTTTTTCTTCCTCTTTTAATATTAGGCAATGGTTCATACGGTAGTGCCCACACCGCGCTTCAGGTCGGAAATACTTGATTCATCGGCCTTCTGTGAGGCCAAGAACTTCTTGAACATGTTCGAGATGTCTTGCTCAGACTGCTCGTCGGCACCATTCTTCTCCATGATCAGACCACGGAGCCAGTGGTTCTCCAGCTCGAGCTGAGACACGCGGGCCTCAAGAATGTCGTTCTTGTCGGTGGTCTCTTTGACGGTCTGCTCGAGAGCAGCCTCACGCTGCTTCTTCTTCACACGGAAGCGAGCACTGGCGGCGGTGTTGCGACGGCGCTTATCCTCCTCGGCCATTTGGCGACTAGCCTCCTCAGCACTCTCCTGGCTCGAGTGTGCTGAGTTCTTGCGCTTGGTGCCGGTAACCGGAGTGGAAGGCGACATAGAAACAGAGGATGGAGTTTGAGCGACCTTCGGAGCGGTGTGAATAGGCGCAGGCTGCAGGGGTGCCTGGCTCGCAGCCACAGGCCCACTAGGAACGGACGGAACCGCAGGGAAGTGGGCATTGTGCATGGGCACCTGGACGTTGGAGCCAGTCAGGTCGGGCTGGAAATCGGTAATGCCATTGAGACCCTCTGCTGTAAAGCCGTTAGCATTGATTCAATTTCAAAACATCCACATCGCGGGTTTCGATTTCCCGAAGAGTAGTGGGGGTCCGAGCAGTAGTTAGAGTCTGAGCAGGGGTTTGTATCACGTGGAATGGCGTAATAGCGGAGAGCATTAACGCCAACGACCAAAGTCAAATTTGAGTGGAAGAAAACCCTGCTAGGGCCACGGGAAGGATGATATGCAGGGTTCAAAAATCCAGCCAAGGAGGTCAAAGCTGTGGAAGGATGTGGGATGATATTGAGGGTAGGAAGCGCATGAACCGCCATAAATGCCAAAACGACCCCAAAACGATGGACTCGTGCAATAGGCATGAATGACGAATTCATGAGGCAACCAATGAAACAATATGCATGTTGTAGACATTGGTCCAATAGACACAATTGTGAACAAGTCCGCGGAGTATGGTGTGATCAGGGGAAAGCCATGCAGCTGAGACTCAGGACTAACCAACCAGCGATGCGAAAAACAGAAACCGAAATCAGCCACACTTACCATTCAAGAAATCCAAGAACTTCAGATCCACATTCTGCGCAGATTGATCGGAGACAGCCTCGTGTGTCTTGTCATCTTCTGCCGAGAACGAAGGCAGACCGTTGAAGTCGGTGAACTTGTCGAACTCGAAGAACTCGGTGTTGGTGAACAGAGCTAGGTCCTCGTCGTTGAAGGTAGTCTGCTGCTGTTGCTGCTGCTGGGCCTGGTCATACGGCGATGGAATTGCGTTCAAGTCATCGAGGTATTGCGAGAAGTTGGGCATGCGACGCCCATTGTAGTTGGCCATTATGAAGGCTTTCCCGTTTACCCGTAGGATCAATTAAGGCAGGAGCCGGAAACCGATTTTCTCGATGCCGATGGACGGTGAAAATGCGCGTTGCGCGGACGGGAGAGACGTGACTCAAATGCCGAATGCGGCTCGGTGCGGATTTGTCGCGGATGCGATTGATGTCGAACCTGTTGCGAGGTGACTTGGGTTCGATTCGTGGGAATCGTGATTTTGGCGATGTTGTAAGATGGAATCCGGAGAGAGAGAAGGAGAGAGAAGTCGGGGCCACAAGTGGGTTTTTTTCTTTGAATCTTCAGTGGGGGGAAGCCCGGGGGCCGGAGGGGTGGATGATGATTAATCCCTCGGGTTTGCCTCCGTTTTGCCTTCATTCGCCTCCCGATTCGGATACTAAGGATCTCGTGTCGCTTGTGAATATTCCCTACTTATACCTGTACATTGCCTTTCTCGTCCAGCTCATCCTACCCTATTATTCCTTCCCACACCCTCTGCAAATCTGGTCTACAATGTTATCGAAACGAGTCGATCGAAGGCCGACCATCGGAGCCTGCCGAGTCTAATCCTCGGTTCCACGTTCCCATTTTCCAATTAGGCAACTCCACGATGATCGGTCCTTGTAGATATTATAGCCTCCAACATTGTATGGTATGAGATGAATGCTGCAGGAATCACGAATCCCGCCTCATGAATCATGCAACTATTACCCAATCCCTCCTTTCTCTCGACCTTGCAACAAATCCTGCGACAAACGCGGCTCCCACACAAAAACGGATACCGAAACCCCGAAATCGGGGTTTGCAACCGGTGATTGGTGGTCCTTGCCAGCTTTGTCAGCGTCGGATGCTCCGAATTACTCATCAACACACCTCATTTCAACTCTTATCCTGCTGTTCACTCCGTTCTTTGACTATTGAAGAACGGACTGGTTTATTATTTCAAATGCGCTGGGAGAAGACTACTAGCTGTGCAAGGGCATTTAAATTTCTTTTTGGCGATATATATGTAGAAGAGCGGATACAGACCCTTCAATACGGTCTAAACCGACACCGTCTACTCCTCCGCAGACCTCGGCCATTATCCTCCTTCCCCTTTGGTCTCCTAAGTACTGCCCAAGACATGCAACTGAATGCAACTAAACTATAATTCTGCTTTATATTCAGTCAGCTACCTGAAGCAATTTATTCCATGCCATATAACTCCATACCCAAACTTGTTACATCACGCATGGGGTTTGAGCCCTGACTTATCCTCTAGAATGAGCGAGATCAGACCCCGAAAGACGCTAAGGCAATCCACCCAAATCTCGGATTTGTTTTCGCTTTGACAACATACGCTGCAATTGCTTTCCCCCTGAGCTAGTCCTTCTATGTCCGAGTCCACTTTCGACCCTCAGCGATCCGCCGAGCTTCACAATCAAATTCTGCAATATGCATGGACCGGCGCCGGTCATTTCTCCGCTCCCATCCACGACATGATGGGAAGAATACCCCCCAGTCAGCCTTGACTCGTGCTTAACTCCTAAACCCGCCCAGTCTCTTCGTTCAGCTAGATCCACTCCATCGAGGGGATGGTCACACGAGGATCCTGGCTTTCACTTTTTTTATTTTCTGAGTGGGCTACAAATCAGCGACCACTTACTCCAGTTTCCCATAGGAGTATTGTCAATATACGCTGCGGGATATCGATAAATCCATTGCTGCGTTCACTCACGTCAATTGAAACTCTACTCCCGGTTCAATTAGCCCGGGTCGATGTCTAATTTCTAGAGTCGGTACTTGATGAAGCTTTTGCTCCGCGCTTCCTGTGCGCCAGATTCATTTCCGCTACATTGCTCCGGGAACCCGGATACAGTCTGTTGCTGAATTGAAAACCCAGCCCTTTGTAGCCTGTCGTACTATAGGTCAAGGTGAACCGGATGAAAATGACGATGAGGCTAACGACGAAGAAATGCCATTTCTCCTAGTCCGAGCAGATGGGTCCAATCTATCACCCTGGGGCCGGGCTTTGGATAATATTGATATCCCTGCTGGTTTATACACGGAAGAAATTAACAAGGGCAGAATGCAGGACTCCGGGAATATGTCCAGACTGCTTCTTACCAGTCGCATCGGGTCTATAGGATACGCCCGAGATACTATTAGGGAGCAGATTGGATTATATGCCAGTCATAAACTGATAGATTATCCTCATAAACTTTATCAAGTCTGTGGTTGGAATGGGATTCGAGAAACTCATGGTGCTCAGCTTTACAAGGTGCTGTTGAATTGGGCAGAGAGGGTTGAAATGGGAGATTGGGAAGTGGATGAGAATGGGGTTGCTGGTGGAATTGAGAAGTTCAGGGACGCTGATACTCCTGGTAATTGGGAGAAGTATCAGATCCCGCTGTCTTGGTGATATAGCTTTGACCATGTTTATGGGTGAGTAACTAAGTGGTTTGCCTGGTTACTATTTGCTCTTTTCGTCTATCGAGTATTAGATACCTAGAATGCCTAACTATCGGCCCAAGGCCACCAACTACTCTCCAGCTCTTTTCATTCAACTGTATCATGCGCCAGCCTGACCCGACTCGACTCGTCCAATCCAGTACCTCGACCGTGAGTTGATCAAATTTGATCCTCCGGGAGAGATTTACGGTGAGTATCTGGCATAGTTTCTCAGCACCGATACGGTTGTCGATCAGTATCTTGCAGGGCAAATCTACTAGGTATCTTCTAGCTCTAGGCGTAGATAATTCTCACTTTTTTAGGCGTCATTGAACTTTATTACCTATTTTCAGTTCTATATTTCTTCATGTTCATATCCAGTAGCTACACCGAGACCCGCTATGTGTCTGCATTTATCTTTTTACTTTTCGATCGATTCATTTTCACTTGGTGGCGGTGAGAATCAGCAGATCTCGATTGGCGTAGTGAAGTCACATTATGTATTCGCTGCATGATTTTGGCCGATCTGGATCTGCAGTTGCTCAATTGATAATAATTGAAAGGTGATAGGTGCTAGCTAGGTACATGTGATATACCGTAATAGCTAGGAGATGCACGTTTCAGGCCAGATAGTTTTTAGTGCACTCCAGGCACTAGACGTGGTTGGGTCGCATTCCAATCAGAGGAGATAATGTAGTATCCAGACTGCATATGCCAGGATCGTGTACAGTATCTCTACCATACCAAAGCTGCGAATATCTCACTTCCATGTCTCCAGCGATGCATCAATGTATGCCTATTGCAACAATGTGGAGCACTACATAAACTCGGACCGCTCCGTTGGGGAATGGATCGACTCCTTCTATCTAAACACGTCATTCTGGTCTCTTTCACAGGCAGCCACGGTAGATGGGACAATGTCAGCTGGTACAGTGATATTCTCGATTTGTATCGCATGGTTGTACAGTAATTCTCGGGACAGCCACCTTACATCACGGAATGTGATTAGTCTATCTATGTCGTAGATGGATACGAAAGAACAATCTGCTTGCAGCTCATGCTACGTGGAGTATGTAGTAGCAGCATCATTGATGCTTGGCCGCGGCATGCTCTTACGTCTCGACCTCGCCCGATTTCCAAGCATTAGCCATTGTATGGTGTAGCTAAAATTATAAGAAAGCTCTGCATATCCCTCGCCCCTTCACCCCTCAAAAGTCTTTTCCTAGAACGACTGCAACTGGAAACAATTGACCTAGTCGTTAAAATGGCACCCCCCAACAAGAAGAACATCCAGGGAGACATCTGGTAAGTCAATACCCTTCTTGGTATTCCAGTTTCGGATTTGATTCTAATAATTCCAGGCCCCGTCTGTCCAAGAAGCACGAGCTTTTTGTCTTCTTCCGCATCACTAACCCTGAGCTGTTCAAGAAACACTTGGCCGCCCTTATTCCTAATCTGACGACTGCCCGCGATGCTGAGAGATTCAGAAAAGGAATCTACCAGAAGAAGGAAGAGGGTACTCTCAAAGGTCTCGTCCATATGTCTGCCATCAATGTTGCCTTCTCTGCCAAAGGTCTAGCAAAGGTGAGTTATGAGACTACCCGGTGATTATAAGAGCGTGCTAAACCATGCCAGCTTGGAGCCGAGGCATTCACCGATGATGTCTTCAACAACGGCCAGTGGGAGGATATGACCTACCCCCTTGAGGGAGATGACAAGAAAAAGCATAACGGTCTCGATGACCAGCATGATTGGTTCCACCAATTCACCCCACGATCTGGATACCTCGACGGTGTCTTCACTATAACCGGTGAAAGTGAGAAGACATTAGTCGATACCATCAAAATGGTTGAGCAGACTTTCGAAGTTGGTCTCGAGGTCGACAAGCCAAAGCCAAGTATCCAACTTGTCTTCCGGCAGCAGGGACATGTCCTTGATGATGACAGAGAACAGTATGATACTTCAGGCGCATTGCATAAATCCTGCAAGACTAACATCTACGGTTTAGCTTTGGATGGGTTGATGGTATCTCCCAGCCAGTTGTCATTGGTCTAGACACCGATGCAAAGGTCGAAGAAGCCAAGAAGGGTTTGAAGCCAATTCAGGCTGGGTAAGCTCTAGACTTTTTACACCAAGTGTCAGTGAATTTAGTCGCTGACGACCTCTTTAGTGCTATTCTTGTTGGAGGCGAAGGCGATCAAGGGAATCACCCAGCTTGGGCCAACGAGGGAAGCTTCATGGTGTTCCGCACATACGAACAGAGAACACCCGAGTTCGTCGCGTACGTGTCCTCTTTGGCTTTCTTCTGCTACAATATTCTTAACATGTCACTTTCAGTTGGTGTGCCCGCAACACTAAGAAAGTGGTCGCTGAGGGCATTAACGAACGATCTGCAGCAGAGCTTCGCAAATTCTCCTCCCGTGTTGTTGGACGATGGCCCAACGGTAAGATCGTCTGCTTGCTGTGTATTCCTTTACTTGCAGCATTCACTTATTTGATATGTACAGGAGCCCCGCTTGAACTTTACCCAGACCAAGATCCATCGCCTATGTTGAACCCCGATCCTATCGAGAACAAGAAGAAGTTGTTCACACAGTGGAAAAAGGAGAATAAAGACCCCGAAGCGGAATTTAAAAAGCTGGAACAGATAAATCACACGGATGCCTTCACTTACAACCCTGAGGACCAAACCAAATGTCCTTACGCTGCCCACATCCGGAAGTGTGGGCCTCGAGATGACTTCCCCAATTACGAGAAGCATCTTATGTTGCGACGGGGAATTCCCTACGGACCACTGACACTGAACAATGAGAAGGCCGGCGGTGTGTCCCAGCATGATCGTGGTCTGTTGTTTGTTTCCTACCAGAGCAGCATCACCAACGGATTCCGATTTGTCCAGAAAGGTCTGTATTCTCGCTAAATTTACAACCACGTTGAGGACTAACAGCTCTGCAGAATGGGCAAACAAGGAGGATAAACCTGTTGATTTCACTGCCAAGATGGGAAATATCGCGCCCCAGGGTATCGACGCTATCATCGGCCAAATGCCTCCCGACTACCGCGCGGAGGACGATGTTACCAAATACGAGCACCCAGCCCCTGTTGCAAACTTTCCCGATGTTGAGAAGCCCGTGCCAACCCCGAACAAGCACTACATTCCCATCGAACGCTGGGTCATCCCTCGCGGTGGTGAGTACTTCTTCGCTCCTTCCATTTCTGGAATGCAGGACACTCTTTGCAAATAAGCGGGTACATTAGTTTGTCCACATACGTCCACTTGACAATGATATGCTGTGCTGCTGGGATTTTTTTGGCCTTTAACCTTTGCTGGTAGATAGTTGGGTGCTCTGTCGGTAACTATGTAGTTAGCAAACCTTGGAACATGACCTGATTACGCCATTCTTCTCCTTCACTTGAGCATTAAACTTGATCATATTCCGGTAACAGCAAAGAAGAAACTCTATACACAAGTACTAGCCCGGTTTTCCTCGGTCGAGACCAAACTATGTTGTTACGGCATTCTACTAAGAGATTTCTATTGTTGGACATTGATCCGAGTACTGTGTGGGTAACTGACACGCGCATGCGGTTATGTCTAAGGGTTTTGCCCATCTAGAACCGTGGATACCACTGGTATAAGATGTGGGTTGAAATATGTGGTGATGATCGCTTCCGAAATTATGAATCACAAGTATAGTAAGCCGGCCGTGTCATGTCATGTAATTTCGGTAGTCATTTTAGTCACTTCGGTGATCTTCTTAAATGTATATTTTATGGATATCTTCCCTTCCTTCCGGGGTACGCCGCGGTAAAAGCCAAAAGGATTAAGTTTGTGGTTTTTCTATGTAGTATAACCATGGATTTTCATGGCGATCCCCAACATCAAGGGTGTAGTAGAACGCAGAACGGAGTGGCCCCAAACCTTGCGTAGAATTTTCAATGACGAGGGTACCCCAGTGCTGTGCAGGGCCCTAAAAATGAAAGAAAAAGGGTTGCACGGCACGGAACGGTCCACCGTGAACGGAATGGGGCAAGAGGCGACCTTGCAGCATTCGATCGTCATCATACCTACATGCGGTGCAACTTGAGCCGTAGATCTATTTATCGTGCATCTTGGTAGGACCAATCAGTCGAGAGCGATATAGAGACCTATGCAATGCACCTTTAAGTTTTTATTGACCGACCTTGTCCAAATATTCAGCTACACTGAAAAAAGGCCCCAGTTCCTTACGTGGAAAGCATACGGTTTATTGGAGAATGTTGCTAGCGCTGGCCCACATTTCTCAATAGCTAAGTCTTATACATCATGCATCTATGGCTAGAGAAATTACAGCACAGCTGAAGCTGGAGGATGGATATGAAGCTCATATAAATAACCTCTACAGTCACGACTCACTCCATTACCTTGTCTACTTACATCTTCTCCTACTTGACCAAAACAATTTTGACCTTAAACAACCCGTCACGATGCAGTTCTCAACCTTCCTATTTGCCACTCTCGCGTTGGCTGTCTCTAGTGCTTGGGCCAAGGATGCCACTTCCGATGATGACCCTACCTGCCTGACTACCTGCCGTGATGACCCTTATCCCTGCCAGGGCGGTTGGGTGTCTACACAGCTCGACGTCGATGATGAAGTATGTGTCCACTCCAATTATCCTTCGGCTTGATACTAATCTGTTGAATAGCCCTGCTGGACTTGCTGCTCGAGCTAGATCAGCAATATGACACCAACGAAGGATGGAAGATTGCCACAATTGAAGGAATGAGCTTGGGTTGAACTGTGGCCTGGAAGGCACCTCGAATCCATGGTCCCATGTATGTGAAGTAGTACTCCACCTCCACAATCTGGTGAAAATGATAGTGTCATATCGATTTTTCGAGATCAGCCTACGGCCACCTTGGTAATTAGACTTGGGACGTAACGGTCCCCCGAGAATACGCTATCGCATTTCGACTTCGATACTACATTGTAGATCAAATATTGTTCTCCTGTTCTTGACGCAAGGATAGGTACGGAGTAGGTAGTTAAAGTTCAGATCTACGGACCCACCCCAGCTAGCCACCAACAGTGTGATATCTCGACGAAGCAGTTCTAGTCCGTGGCACACTGTCTAGCTTGAACAGACTCAGTCATTCTTTTTACTTAATTATTCATTGTTGCTTCTAAGTACCACTTATTCAACTCGCTCCGGTATATATCTAGTTGTGGCCGCATATTGCTTCACTCCTAGTTGTTGGGGAGATTGGATACTTTTTCTTTTTCAAATTTCCTGCAATGATTACAAAAATCGCAATGAGAGTCAAGAGACCTTTCATTTCCATCTGCAAGACACTATCTAATATTTGACCAGCTCTTCGAGTCTCTCCAGGAGCTAAAATGAACTCGTCAGTAGTGCGTCAAAATCCAATAGAACACCCGGGAAGACGTACCCAATTATTGAGATCAGCCTGGTTGTCTCTCAAGTTCTCGAACTGGGCATCCAAATGTTCTGTATTTGAAAGTTAGACTGATCCATGTTACTTCTAATTTACTTCAGTTATCACTTACCAGCAGTCACGTTGATCCTGTTGGGGACAAGATCATTCATCTCCCAGCTTTCCAAAAATGCAGTAGCCTCAGGCGCGTTGCCCACCTGGCTAAGGTCATAACGGACGGCTATGCAGGGTTAGCGGTATCGTCGACGTAGAACTACGACCAAAGCTTACCTTCGTCTCCGTATCCGTTGGCCTTCACAAAGTTCAGAGATGCCCTGACTTCATTTTCGTATGCATCAGGATCTTCACTGTTTGGAGCTCCATCGGTGACGGTCAGGATAAGAAGGGGCCGCGAGAGCACATAGCCCTTGTTAATTGGGCCATAGAGAAAGTCATCCAAGACTTTATCTTTCAGGTTCGAGCCCAGTCTAGTCGATCCTGTTGGGGAGAAATTCATCTTCAAGGAAAGCTCGTTGGGGTTGAGATTATCAAATTTGTCGTCCTTATTGATGAAGCGAAGATGAACAAGCCTTTGATCCTCGGTAGCAGCCGCCGTGATGAGATGTGCCATATTTTCAACCATGGCTGCCTGAAGGCTCATGCGGTTGTCAGTATCCATCGAGCCACTATCATCTAGAGGCAACGAGTATAAGCATGGTGTTCATATGCGATGTGATGACTTTGGCTTACCGCAGTATAGAATAGGCTGATACAACGCCAGGTGGGACATGATGGTCACATTCTTGGGTGTTGCACCCGGGATGGTTGAATCGTTCAGGATCTTGAATGCGTTCTCCGCTACCTTGGCCACGTATTCATTGCCCTCTGGGTAGAAGTCCTCAAGACCCTTTTTCTTGATTAATTTATGAAGGTTTGACTTGAACTCTTCCACCGTGCGGGGATACGTAGTTTGCTATTTCGGGATTAGGCAAATTTAGAAATGAGAGAATGTCGATGACAAGATACATACGCCTGGCAATGGCTCCGCCAATGCAGCAACACGATTTATGGCGTTTATGCCGACGTCCTTGAAGTTTTTGAAGTATGCCAGGGCGAAAAGACCGGAGCTAACGAGAAGATTCTCTAGCTCAGGCTTCCACGCTGGCTTATCGTCCTTGGGACGAATAGCCTTGGAGACAGCGGTGTTGGTAGACTTTTCAGCAAGGCTCGCAGGCGTTTCTCCAAGGTCATTTGGCCTATCCATGGCTGCTCCAGCCTCGATGAGGGCACGGATGGCCTCGGGGCTAGTGCCTAGTCGAATTGCCGACATCAACGGGGTGTCACCTTTCTGCTGTGAGACCGGCTCATCAGGCTTGGCGCCGTGCTTGAGCAGAAGCTCGACAATGCGACCGCTGTTTGGTGCCTGCGTGGCCGCATAGAGGGGGGTCTTGCCATCCGAAGATACTCTGTTGGCATCCGCATCGTTCTGCAAAAGCAGCTTTACAGCACCAACATGGCCGTTTCGAATTGCCAAGTCAAGGGCCGTATCACCATAGCTATCTTCGTCATTGACTTCTACCTGGATAAGGAATTGGACAATGTTCTTCAGATTTAGAGTTCCGCTCTTCGCATGAGTGTGAAGGTTTGCCGTCATTATGAAGATCTCTGTCGCGAGTCACTTGAGTTATTGCTGAGCTAAGGTAGACCAAATTGCTTTGGGAAAAGGATGAAGGTCACGATTCATCGATTCAAGTCGTACTTATATCCTTAGGTGGAGGGGAAGACACCCCCTTCTTGTCTGCCGCTTTCAGGCAGCCCCATCGCGTCCGTTGACGCGTAATGCCTGTCAGTTCAGCTCAATTCTGTAAATACAGGAGATGTATCACCCAGCAATTGCCCTCCAAAAAGATACCGACAGATTGTGAGCCAATACGCGACCATGAACCTTAATGAAAGTGACGTCAGCACAAGGGGGGCGACCTGGCCTATCCATCATGGGACGAAAGGGTGACTCCAATGTGACATAGTTTCTCCAGGGGACGGGATCAGGAGGGTTGCACGGCAGCTGCGCCATTGGGAAAATCTCAAAGCGACACTAGTTTCTGCAGGTTGGCTCAGCTAGGACAGGCCGCCTTCAGCTGAGCCATCTGCTGCACCATTGGCAACTGATTGGCTCACTCCGATGCTGCACAAGGTCAGCCTATAGCGTTCTCCTGTTGAGTGCATCTATCTGACGGGAGCTGTACGTACTCCCTGGCATGACGTTATTGATAAGTTGGAAGGCTCGACCCACCGGTTCCCCGCGGAACGGGCCGGAAATTAGAAAGTGGACTCCGCGTGACGGATCCGGAAGGCGGTATTAGGGCTTTTTATAGGCAGTGCCCAGCAAATCGATATTCTTAGATGTTTCTTCCATAACAGCGTCGATCACATCGAACTAGCGACCACGGACGACTTTGCTTATATTGGCTTTTGTTGCCTGCATAAAATTGGCCATTTACCGATTTTTCATTCGTTCCGCAGTTGGCTTATCTTCTCCTTTTAGGCTTTCTGGGGATCTGCAATTTTCCAGCTCCACATCCTGCAGAAGCTGAGCTGAACCGAATCATCTGGCCATCCCAGAGTCCTAGCTACCCACTCCAGCTACCCACTCCAGCTACCCACTCCAGCTACCCACTCCAGCTACCCACTTCCAGGTCCACCAATGTAACTTATCACTCGATCTATGATTTTGACACCTCTTCTCTCCTTAACGATCGCTTATGGAGTAGTACTTTGCATCATGTCTTAATATCAAAGTGGGGCTATAACGCGGGGGAGAGAAAAGGGGTTGTGGAGGACCTGGCCGTGTCGCTATGCTATTTATTCAAGCTTTGAGCACCTGCAATTCCTCTTGCCTTTCTGCGACAACCAGAGACAGTTCTTTCTTTTGTTTCTTGATTGACGATGACTGCCAAATCATTCCTCTTGCTGCTAGGCGCGGCTTCGGCCTTCGCCAACCAAATCCCAATCGGCGTCGGCTCGGTATGCCTGTCCTCAGCTACTCCTAATGACTGCTGTACCAGTGGTGCGCCCACTCCCACTGGTGAGGTGACAATTGATGACCGCACCTTCAAGTTCACTTGCGGATCGGCCTTGGGGTCTCTCAATCCCAAAACAGCCCAAAAAGTCAGCAATGCCCACGAGTGTGCATCACTCTGTGCAGATGACCTGTCCTGTGAAGCATCATCTTTCAAGGCACACGGCAAGCCACCCCGCGGAAACAACTGCTTCTTTGTCCTAGGAGACAACCTGGATCAGAGGTCCGATGAAGAGTGGATTACCTTTACGGAGGTATTTCCATCCTGTTTGGAGTCGGATGATCGTAACGCATGCTGCTCTAATCCAGACAAGCAAGAAGACGAGGTTGTTATTGGTAATGGCCGTTGGAAATGGACTTGCAAGACTATCCTGTCTTCGCTGAATAAAATCAGCAGGCCGGCGGCCAATGCCCTCGAATGTGCTTCGCTCTGCGCGTCAGAGGACTGCGAGGCAATTTCCTTCAGAACACTGGGTGATCACAAAGCCGGCAACTGCTTCTTCGTCCTTAGCAGCAATAAAGATCAACAGCAGGCAACCAAGTTTATGTCAATCGTTAAAATCGAGAATATCGACCCCCCGACTCCCGAACCGCAGTGCGAAAAGTACGTGGAGGAGAAGGAACAATGCGCCAAAGAGAAGGAACAGTGCCTTCAGGATAAGAAGGAGTGCGACAATAGCAAGGACACCTGTCAAAATGACCTAGAGCAAGCTAAGCACAACCTCGAAATATGTCAAACAAACCAGGTGGATCCAGCGAAATTGGCGCAATGCGAAGCGGACAAGCTGACGGCCCAGAGTGCCGAAGAGGACTGCCGTCGCCACTCTGGTGAAATTGAAGAGAAGAAAAAAGAATGTCGTGCGGAGCAACATAAGTGTGAATCAGAAAAGGGCGACCTCAGCATCCAGAAGCAGCAGTGCGAGAACGACAAGAACAAATTGGCTCTGGATCTCACCAATAAAAATGATGAGATCACCGCCCTCAACTCGCAGATCACATCGCTCAAAGGCAAACTAGACACACTCCAGCAGTCGTATGATGCTCTCAATGTTAATTGCAACGGAGAAGGCGCCGATGGAAAATGCCGCACAAACCTTTTCGACGCCGGTAAGTAATGAAATTCAATGACTCCCGCGGTATCGCATTTCACTGCTCAACCGATACTGACCACTGAGTCACAGAGCTTCGCGACGATCAATGCATCATCACGGCTGGAAACGAGAAATTCAAGATTCACTATGCTAAGCGTTTGTCTACCCTATAAAATCTCATAGTAGGGACATGCCATGCTAACTTCTGGAAAGTTGATGACCCCGGACCAGCAGACTTGGGTACTGGCAGGGCGAACTCTTTCAAGGACTGCGCTGAGAAGTGCGCCAACTACAAGGGCGCTAAGAAGTGTGTGCGATTCATGTGGAAAACAGACGGTAATGACAGAGCTTGTTACATGCGGTCGACCGGGCTTGGTACGGTCCCCACCAAGTCGTCGCTATTTAGTTCTGGGCAGCTTCTGGTTTGAAACTAAGCAACCACGAGATACTTTGGAGACGGGGATAGTAACGATGCAGAGGGGGAAATAATCACGGTCGACTTTCTAGTGTTAGGGAGAGCACCAGCAGACTAAATATTTTCCTCTTGAGTGACTTTTTCCAACTATTGTAACTAGGCCTTTCTCCACGTGTTATATCTTTGGCATATCACGTTGCACTGTTTAGGCCTCTCCCAGATCTCTCATCTTTCATTCCCGAAGAAATCTTCCATTAAATTCAACATCTCAGATTACTGTCAAGTGAGATACTCGAAGTGGGTATAAACAAATCATACAGGGCCACGAGATTTACCCTGACCTTCTCGCACCACGAACGGGGTTACGACTTGAGACAAACAATTAGGGTCTATGGTCATGAAATCCAGATGAAATCGTCTATTGAGAGTAATTATATTCGCATGTTAAGGTCGACCGCTTCCCGTTGCTTGTGGTGATTCTTCTGTCTCAAAGTCCTTCACGAGCCGTGATTATAGGTCACCGACACCTCGGTTATCATATTGATATTTTCGCCCTTTGGAACGATAGGCTCTAGGATCGCTGTTTGACTTCCCGTGTCATGAACACTCGTGTGTCCAATATCCGTCTGCGTTTCGCCCTGGGAGTTGTCGAATATCTTGCGGCTGGGGGGCTGTTTTGGATACGCGATCATGTTATAACTGTCCGCTGATGTGCTGGGGAACATCCTTGTCAAGAGAGGCTTAAGCGCGGGAATAGATGCAGCGGTGATAGCGAGACCGTCTTCAACTGCTGCCCAGATTAATAAGGGAGCGAGTTCCCCTAAGCAAAGAAAGCAAATTAGTCCTGACAAGAGACGAAGAAGGTAACAATGGTGGCGTACATGTGAAGTCGGATTTGGCTGAGAGGGCCACGAGGTGGATGGTCTTGACTATGGATGCTGCGCCTGCACTTGAAGAGATAAGTCAATCAGCATGTGGGACGGTTCGAGGTTTGCAAGGGCTTCCGCCCAAGGACTTACAAGATTCCAAGACTCATTGCAACGACCACACCAAGCTTTTCCTTCTTCTTCATTTGCAAATTCCACACAATCGTCCATGGTAGCAGGGCTAGGACGAAATCTTGTGCTCCAGAATAAGCTGAGGGAGTTTACGTGTTAGTCGTCAATCACAACCAAAGCAGACTTCTGCGAGCAGACTCACCACCAACAAAGAGAGAGAAATGCGTAAAGATATGCGACGGCCAACACTCCGATGGGATCATCGGATTCCACAGATGCCGAGGATCTTTGCATTGCAGGAAGACAAAGAGCGCAGCCAAGATGTTGACAATGTTCATTGTAACAATCACGAACCATAGCAAAATAACCATCCATCTGCGGACCACGATCCGAAGCAATGTGACAGCAAAGGACGTCTTGCCGAGGGTGCATGCAATGATTGCCAGAGATTCGCCAATGTTGCATAAGAGCGCCACCTGGATGAGGTTATCGGGGTTTTTCTGGACAATTTCAAGGTGTTGCCCTAATCCCAGGTTTGCAGCGACATGGGAGACAGCAGCGTATCCAATCAGACAACCCTACCAAGGGAATTGAAGTTAGCAAGATCATCCAAGTCAGTCAGTCACGAAAAGGAGTCCCTTACAATTGCCGCGATTGCAATGCCGTCATCCCAGCCAAACACTCTCCGCATGTATACTCGCACATACAAGCGCAGGAAAACGAAGACCAAAGGAACCATCGACATCGTCCACATCACACCCTTCACTGTAGGAGCCTGGCTCTCCGGTAGGAGAGATGCACCCCCGCTAGACGACATTCTGAGTATTCACCAATGCTGTGCAGACAGTCCGGGGTATACCCGTCGGTTTAAAGATCCAACGTCCCCAGATGTGGACACACCACGGATTATTTCAAGCGCATGGGCATTGTCAACAGGGTGTCATATCTCGGAAACTAAAACGTCCCGACAATATGAAATACGACAGGGGCGAAGTCTGAAAAAGTTAATTATTGTCACAGCAAGTGGGACTCATACTTCCCAAGTGGATCTCAAAGCGATGCGATCGGTCAACTTGGGCCGCCTTCCCGGTATGAACAAGTATGCCATTGTGCATTGACTCGGTTACAATGGTAGTGGCGGCGGTGGATCTGTCACAATAACGAGAGGCTGTTACAGATCCATGGTATCTCTTCCGGGCGCTAGGGCAGAACCGCTCTAGAGCCAAGGTTATCATAGCCGCATTGGGAAAGTCGGGTCATCGAAGAGCCATTCATAGCCGTCGACAATCAATCACCGACTCCACATTCCGTCCACCCGCGCCAGAATACGAAAGCTAAAGCCCACTTGGATATAATTTCCATATCATTGGAGAATCATTGGCGCTTCTTCGCGTCTTTCACTTGTTTCCCGCAAAGAACCCCGCTCGTGTTGAAAAATGGACAAATCGCGTCCTGCCGTTATCTCAGCAGCCCTAGGGGTTAGGGGCTTCGAGGGGCATTGAAAAGCTGCAACTGCCGACTGTGTTGCACTTCTCGAAAGTCTAACTATTGGCAGTGAATTGGACTCGGAATCCCCTTGCTGCACTGCACTGCACTGACTTCCGTGCGCGCACATTATACACGTTGGACATGATCTCTCTTCCTTCCAGCCTGTGGGCCCAGGCCTTGGCCACTCTGGGTTTGCTTGTTGTGACAAAGTTGATTTCAGATGTGTTCTTTTCGCGTTTGAAATCCATCCCTGGCCCGGCGTTGGCGAAGATCACTGATGTTTGGCGTGCGGCTCATGCATATGGCGGACGTATTGATCTGAAGAATGTTCAATTACATCGGAAATATGGCACAGCGGTGCAGGTCGGGCCCAATTGCGTGAGCATATCAGACCCGAATCTAATTCGGACAATTTATTCCACTCGCAATCCATGGAAAAAGGTTGGATATATCGTCTCCTAGTCAATGCCGTCCTTTTAGATGTGAGAATAGGCCATGCTGACCAGTCGTAACCATGAGTAAAGAGTGATATGTACCGCCCCAATGATGTACTGATTGAAGGCCATCGAATGTCGAATCTCTTCAACACCCAGGATGAAGATTGGCATAACCAGAACATCCGACCTATCCGGGGCCTGTGGACCATGACTAAGGTTCTGGAATACGAGCCTTTCATCGATGAAACAATAACAAAGTTTGTGGACAAGCTTGCGCTGAGATTTGTCGATGGTGATAACGCAGGAAAGGTTTGCCCGGCAGATGAATGGATTGGTTTCTGTGAGCTCTCAAATGCCCCCTAGCAGCCTGCGCAGCTTTCAGCTAACACATCACATAGTCGCCTGGGATGTGACCGCCAATTACAGCTTTGGTCGGCACTATGGATTCATTGACCAGGAGAAGGATGTCGACAATTTGATCACAGACTCCACTGCTGGCCTGAGATACTTCGCACCGGTAAGAACTGCGATATCAATGATTCAGCGTAAGCAAGGAGGGTGACTGATACGTCCCACCAGGTCTCTCAAATCCCCTGGGTTGACAACTTCCTCGACAAGAACCCAATCAAGCGCATTGGGCCCAAGCCCACCTTGACAGGTGTCCTCTACGCCTTCAGAGTCGTCGCCGAGTATCAGGCCCAGCTTGCTGAGAAAAAAATCTCCGCCGGTACTGTCGATCACACGCTCGACAAATATGTGCAGCTGAAAGAAACGTACCCCGATCTCGTTGATGACAACCAAATTGTTAACTGGCTGATGCTGAGCATTCTCGCTGGAGGGGACACAAGCTCAGCCACCATGCGTGCTGCCGTTTACTACCTAGCCAAATCACCTGCTGCGACGGCCAGACTTGTCGCCGAACTTCAATCCGCCGGTATCTCTGCCCCCGCTCCCTGGAAGGAGATCCGCGACTTGCCGTACCTGGATGCCGTCATTCGTGAAGCCCTGCGCGTCAACCCTGGTATTGCCATGATCTTCGAGCGTATCGTTCCAGAGGGTGGATTCACGCTTCCGGACGGACGATATCTCCCCGCGGGTACTAAGGTCGGGATTAACCCCTTTGTCACGAACCGTGATTTCGGAGTGTTCGGGGATGATGCGGATGACTTCAATCCGGATCGCTGGCTGCAGGGCAAGGACGAAAGCCCGGAGAACTTCGAGGTTCGCCTGCGTCGGATGAAGGATACTGTCGACTTATCTTTCGGCGGCGGAGGCCGGGTTTGCATGGGCCGGTATCTCGCTACGTTGGAGATCAAAAAGCTGATCGCGTCGCTGTACACCTCGTTCGATGTGAGTGGTTTATTGGCGTTTGTTGGATTCCAGCTTTTTGGTGCTAACTCGCGGTATAGATTCAATTGGTCGACCCCAAGCATGAATGGAACTATCAAAATGCCTGGTTCGTGTATCAGTACGATATGCCCATGGTCATTCGGCGCCGATGAAAAGGGGTGTCCGAGGGCCAACTGGTAGGTAGAGATAAAAACGCCCGAAGCGGACTCTAGGGAGATCTAATGAATACACGAAAGATCTGAGTTGCATGCAATATGGATTGAGTAGAAATAATTTGTCCATACCGCATAGGGTATCAAAGTCCAAGCCTAGAAAACGCCGCCAAACCATTAAGAATACCCAAGTCCTTGGAAGATTGCCATGCATCAAGTCATTATGTAGTAGCGGATCACTGATACTTCGCTCAAGCTTTCGAAATGTCCATCCGGAATTTCATTCAAGCACACCTCACCGTTCAATCGTTACTGGAAGGTATGCCGGTACGTGCGAAGTGAAATCATGCCTTAAGCCGCTCAACGGGAAAGCCGTTACCATCCTTAATTGCGGCTTCATCCTCGTTTTTCTCAACTGGCTTTCCTTCATTACCTTCCTCGCCGGTAATTTCTCCCCAGCCAGAACTTCTTCGACTCATGCGACCAGCCACGGCATATGGACTGCTAATACCCCCGGAGATACTGGCACCAGTACTGTCATGTCGGCTGTGCGATTGGACAACGCTGCGAATGCTGGCCGTATCACCGCCGACGGTTTGCTTAGTAGTGTATAAGCCGCCCCGCTCCGCAGTAGTGGTGGCTAGCGGAATTGCTCCGGAGGCCGAGTAGACACTGATGCGTTCAGCACTAGCAAGGCCAACAATACTCGGTCGGCTCAGTACCCCCGACGCATTGAATACTGAGGTATTGGATGCTTCAGTCGTATTTCCACTCAGAACACTCAGCGGCAAGCTCTCCCGACTCCCGCCGAAAACAGAAGACGGAGCCAACCCGCGTACAGACGCATTGGTATCTAGGGAGTTGCGGCGACGGCGCTTGGATGAGCTTGCCAAGGTGAGAAGAGAAGCGTTATCGGTCAAAGCATTGTTCGCGGTTGCAGCGCTGTACGTCATCGCATGACTTTGTGGTGCCAGGTGCGAGGGGACTGCAGTGGCGGGTGAGGTTGAAGGGAATTGGTGGGAAAATTGAACCTGCTGGTTTGAAGAACTCTGTGCTGAGCTGCCATGGTGGTGCCCATTGTGGCTGTTTTGTGCATTGTACAGTTGGGTTGAGGGTGCTGCCGAGTGCACAGTGGTCAGGGTAGTGGTCATCGATCGAATTGAAGGTGCCGGCGACGAGAAGGTGCTGCCCTCACCCCCTCCATGGCTGCTTAATCCTTCAGTGCCAGTTGCCAATGTCCCAGCCTTGGAATACGCTGCTTCGGATACTGCGGCATCGCCGTTGGTTGAAATAGTTGGCGCAGCTGATTTTGCACTTGTCAGGGGAACCGGGTTCTCATAGCCCGAACAGAAAGATGGGTCGCTTCTGGAGCGAGATGTTGTACCATAATGATCATCTGTATATGAGTCGGTCGGTGTCTGAGTCCCTGTGTCACGGTTGATGATTCCAGAGAGCGGGTATGGGTTGTTTTCTTGGTCGGCCTTCTTGCCCTTATTGCCCGTGGAGCGCTTGTTGGTCCATCGATTTGTCGTAGAATCAGAGGAGCTCTTAAGGTTCGCCAGGCGTTTCACCCAGTTCGAGAATGGGCGGCGACGTGCATTCCGGTCTGTTTTGTATGAATCCCTTAGCAGGGGTTCGCGGTGGCCAACAGGCACAATCTGTACATATGTACTTACCATGCACCCTAGCAGGACCATCGGCAGTAGTCATTCTAGCTTGGAGAGGTAGCCTAGTCACTAACCACTCTTGCTTGCGAAATGTCAAAGGTAGGCAGGGGAGTAAGTAGAGCTCTGGGCATCAAGTCGCGCCGCGGCAGATGGGGCAGCGGGCGGGGAGACTGTTTATCCGCGCACGTCATGTGCCTGCCTTCGATATTGCCTCTCGACTTCTATTGTGTGACGTATTCTCAACATTTCGGTCGTTTTATTTTTCGCAAGTCATTGACTGGTACCTATTGGAAAGGTTCTACCAGCGACAATGACAGGTGATCATGATTGAAATGCGTATTTATAGTACTGTTTCCAGGATCCATTTTGGGATCTTTCTTGCATCTAGTGGCACAATGCCCCGGTGAATACAACTGCGTCAATGCCTCCTTCTCGGTCTATGATACAAGCGCTACCTTCTGAAGTGGTTGCAAAGATCAAATCATCTACATCCATTTTGCATCTGACTGGTGTCATTTTGGAGCTAGTCAAAAATTCTTTGGATGCCAATGCACATACCGTCTTCGTCACTGTCGATTTCAAGCGTGGTGGCTGTATAGTTGAAGATGATGGTGATGGAATCCCTCCGGCCGAGTTTGAAGTTACCGGAGGGCTAGGCAAACCTCATCGCATGTCTCCCAACCTTAGGATTATTTATGCTAGCTAACATATGCGATAGATACATCCAAATTCGAGCTGAGTGGCTTGTATGGCCATCGGGGCTTGTTCTTGGCTTCCCTGGCCTCGGTGTCTCTGCTCACTGTGACTTCTCATCACATTCATCATGGATGCACAAACTCAATCATACTTCATCATTCGACACCTGTGGCTCGGCTAACCCCTGCACCACCACACCAGGTGCTTCGCTTTGCCGGCCATGGCACATCTATAACTGTCAATGACCTTTTTGGGAACATGCCAGTTCGAGTCAAGAGTCGAGCTCTCACTCTTCAGCGGCCGGACGAGCTAGAACGGGAGTGGGACCATCTCAGGAACTCTTTGGTGTCTCTCCTTTTAGCCAACCCTCAATTCTCAAAATTAGTCCTCCTCGATGTGGAACGAAATAAACGGATTTCTATTCGTCTTGGAACTACCTCTATACCCGAAGCGTGCATTCCTCATGCTCAGAAGGATTTTGATCTCAAACGTGTCGGGTCAATTCTGACACAATCCGGGCTGATCACATCACCAAACTTCGATTCTTGGCATGCAATTTCAGCCTCGGTTTCTGACCTGATAGTTCGGGGAGCAATATCTCTCCAACCCAGCCCAAGTCGGAAGGTTCAGTTCATCTCTTTGGGGAAAGACCCCATCCTATCGCGCAACAGCACAAATGTGCTTTATGACGAAGTAAATCGGCTATTTGCTGAGTCTGATTTCAGTAATGTTGGAGCCATTTCCCACAGAAGCTCATCTTCGTTGAATCAGCTTGATGCCCCAAGTAACGCAAGCACTCGAAGCTGGGCAAAGCCCGTCAATAAGTGGCCAATGTTTTACATTCGCATTGACACAAACGCTGTTATACGATTGGGCGACGATGCGTCTGTGAATCTTCCAGAGTCGGCCAAATCGGTTCAGCGTATAGTTGATGTGCTTGGGGCCATGGTTCATGAGTTTCTGAAGCAACACAATCTCCGCCCTCGTAACCGCAAACAGCAGACCATTTTATCACACCAAAACCAGAGTATCCGTTCCAAAGCCTCTCGAGCAGCTGGCAGTTCTCGTGGTTCTCGTGGCCCTCTACAACAAGGTCGGTCTATTTCTAGCACCGAAGAGGTGTTCAGCGGTCGTCTAAAAATCCCCTCCTTTCCAAGAGCACAGTCTCTAAACTCTGGTCAAAGCTTCGACAACTGGTCCAGGATAAAAGCCGCTAAGGGTCCCAAAGGACGTTCTCCAACCCATCAAACATCTCGGCTTTCCCATGCGGCTCCTAATATAATACAGGGTGAGAGCTCCTTGCCGATCCTCCCTAACCATAAGTCAAACCATCCAAATGATGGCCAGGAGTGCAGAATTATTCCAAACCACCCGAATAAAAGAGTCTCCGGTGAGGACAGGAACAGGACAGAGGATCTGCCTGGAGACTCGCCATCAGACAAGATGATCAGCTGGATCGATCCATACACCAAGATGGCCTATATGATTAATTCTCGAACGGGCCAAACGATGGACGCCCAGAAGTCATTAGCTACCCATCGGTCTTCCACCGATTGCGCCAACGCCTCGTCCAAGCATCCAGTGCAAACATTTTGGATAGAAAATCTGTTAGGGAAATGGGACAATCCTTCCTTCAGCCGAACAGAAATGCCAATACCAAATCTAGGCGCAGAGTCCGTCGGTCAGCAGAATGTAATTACTTCTTCGCACGGCTGCTTCAAAGGCATTGGATCGCTTGATACAGCGCAAGTTGCCAAATATCGAGGCAAGCTTCAACGCCGTGCGCTCGAGACTGCCGAAGTGATAGCCCAGGTGGACAACAAGTTCATCTTGGCTAAGGTCCACACGACTCCCGTCATTCCCAATTTGGAGGAGACATCAAACGATGTTCTACTCTTAATCGATCAGCACGCGGCCGATGAGCGATGCCGAATCGAACAGTTGTTCAAGGAGATGTTTCTCTCTGCTGAGCTGGGTGAGAATTTGGAGTCGAGTTGTCGAGTGCGGACTGTCCAAGTCGGCTCTCTAGCATTCGAAGTTTCGTCAACAGAGGGTGACCTCTTCCAAAAATATATGGCTCTCTTCTCGGCCTGGGGTATTGAGTATGTGACACAAGGCGAAACCAAATCTACTGTCTCGATCACCGTCCACACTGTCCCTGTCCTAATAGCCGAACGCTGTCGGCTCGAGCCTCGCGTGTTGATTGACTTGATGAGGCGTGAGATTTGGTCAAGTGAGGAAGATGGTAGGAAGCCGTTCCAGTCGAAGAAGGCATTTGAAACGGAATATGCCGACCAGGATATCGAACTATCAGACAGCGATGACGTTGTACACAAAGGAACCCTAAAATCGTCCGCCTCGCGCTCATGGGTTCAACATATGAATGGATGCCCTCAAGGCATCGTGGACCTATTAAATTCCCGGGCCTGTCGCACTGCTATCATGTTCAATGACTCGTTGAACATCGAAGAGTGCCAGGCCTTGGTCTCCAGGCTGGCCGATTGTGCCTTCCCGTTTCAATGCGCCCACGGCCGTCCTTCAATGATTCCTATACTTGATTTACGAACGCTCTCCGAGACTGCTGTTTCATTGCCGCTCGACTTGGATACCGGTGCATCTGCTTATGATGACAATGACGGCATGAATTTCGTGGAGGCGTTTAGAACACGTTATGTAACATAGTTGGTTAATCTAAGGCTCTTGTATAGGGAATTAGGGATTTCGATAATGCAAAATATGTTTAAACGAAATGACGATGTGTACAGTAGGTGATATATCAATCAAGAGTTGTCAAACTTGCACCCAGGTCCCGAATCATGTCTTGAACGGTCTATAATTCAGGCATCAACCCCACAGAACCATGCATTTAACCTTTTGCGGCTCTGCTCCTTCGCGCCGTCAAGTCAACAAACACCCTGGCGCGTCAAGAAAATTTGCCCACCATAACGATACGATGTCAGCATTACCAACATCCACTCATTCTTGTCGGCACCGTTTCAAGCGGCCATCCAACGTGAGCACTTCTAGACCGACTCAAATTCCTGACGGGTCCTTCACTATCTAATCCCTCTCAGATCCTCGTAGCAGAACCACAAATCACCTGCAATCTACTTAGCTTACCTCCCGAACTAATCGTTGATATCCTCAACAAATGTGAACATCTGGATCGAATGTGCCTTGCGTTGACATGCAAGCGCCTGCTACACGTCTCATCACTTGTCCGAATTCGCATACCATCAGTACCCAAGCACAGATTTCTTCCACCATCAACCTGTGTTGATATATTCACTCTCCTAAGGCGAATAGCACCCCGTGACAATTCCGGTCGACCTGAAGCAAATATTGGCCTTTGCTGCGACTGCCTAAGGTATCGCACACGACGAATACAGTACTGGGATGGCTACGAAGACAAGTACTTGGAAATGGGGGTCGAACCTGAAATGTGGGATAATGCGGTCAGCCATTGGCATTCTAAGTATTATTTTCAATGTCCGGAGTGCTGGTGTCGAGAAAAATTTAGGCTCTCCTGAGCATCTGAATGTCTTGAAGTGGTTTGTCGGCTGGAATATACGGTGAAGGGGTTCTCTGGTATTCAAAATCGAGATCCTCTGAACATTTTCCTTACATGTACTGAAGAAAATTCAGCATAGCGGCCACGTCGGCATTGTACGAGGCAGAGAGAGGTACATTTACAGTCTACAGTCTACAGTTTCAATGGTTCAGAAGAAAACTGTTGAATTAAAGCGTATGTTGCATTTCAGTTTTTCAGGCAGCTTTTAAGAGTTGCTCCTGTACAAAAGCCGTGAGGCCGAAATATTGTCTAGAGGGTATCCGATTAGGAAAACGCCCAGTTGACAGATAAGAAACCATTTTTCCAGTCCCATCCTTGTTTCCCCCGTCCCCAGCCGAAATAAGAACAGACCAGACAAGAAAGAAATCAAACTAAAAAAACATAACAGAGCAAGGCCTTTGGTAAACTCCATTTGGGTAGTCCCAGGCCCCGTTCCATACATAGCCGCTTTTTCAAATGCTGCATCTCTCGAACGAGAAATCGCAAAAACAAGACACAAGAAACCCAAGAGTAAAATAAAAAAAGTAAAAAGGTAAGACAAGAATGATGGGATATTCACAAATCGTAAGAAGATGGGTTTTGAGAAAATTGATGCACGTATGCATAATAGAATGGTTAAGATGATGTGGATGTGGACACCAGTAAAGTGGGAATGAGAAGAAGAAGTCATCAGTCATTAGGTTCTGAGGGATGGGATAGGTGATGGTGTGTAGTAGTGAGTGAGTTATCCGTGTGTCGGGACGGACTTCGCCTTGGGATGGTTGGTCCATGAGAGGAAGTCGAACTTGTCCTTGGCATTGTCAAGCATGGAAGGCATGGGCTCGGACTGGGACTGAAGGTTGTTTGCGCTGCGGGAGGCTTCTCTAGGCTCGAGAACCAGAGAGCGGCGGTAGAAGGTTTGTGTGGTGATTTCGCCGTTTGAGCGCACGCGCACAAACTCATTCTGCATCCAGACCTGTAGCTCTGGGACTTCGGTCAGACGGTAGGGGATCTGGAACCGTTGGAGCTCGCTGATAATACGGGCTGTCTTCATGTGCTTGTCGAAGTTGATGACAGTCATTTCACTGTCATGGGTGGAGAGGGTGCGGAGAGATTGGTTGCCGTGGTCGACGAAGGTGAGGTCGGTCAGGTAGGTACCGACAAATGGAAGGCAAGGAGGGACGTGGTTCTGAAGGCGCTGACGGAGTACTGCGTAGTTGCGAGACACATCCACGATACCGCAGAGCTGCTCGAGGACAGTCTTGGTCTTCTGCGATACGATGTCCCAGGTCTTCTTCAGTCGAGAGATCATAGACGAGTTCAATGAGCAGATTATCGCCATGAGGGAGTCGTAGTTGTTCAACTCTAGACATTTGTTCGCAATCTTGACCCAGTGCTTGATGGTAGCGGCACGCTTCTTAGGCTCCTCGAGGTATAGGATAGAGTCAGCAACGAGGTGGGCGAGGTCAGTCGAGAGAGTTGACATGGCGCGAACGTTCACAGCCAACGATCCTGACTTTGGAGTCCATTCCGTGTTCAGCAGTTCTTCGGGAAGGATCGAGCAGAAAATGCGTGACTCCTTAATGGTGAGCTGGCGGGCGAGCTCAAGTGGGTCGAAGTCAAGGATGGTTATAGAGGCTTCGCCGTTCTTCCATTGCTTGAGCAAGTGGTGCTCCTTCTTGCCAAGGATGGGAGGGGGTAAGGGAGTATCGGGGTGAATGTATTGGGCAATGGAAGTGTTGGTCTTGCCCATGGAAGATATCAGGCGAGGCACAAGAGGACCACCAACGGAGGACACCTTGCCGGCCAAATCAAGCAACCTCATACCAGCAGTGGGAAGGTCCGCCATAAGTCGTGTGCTTGCGAAGTCGACGATGAACTCCAGGGCCGTGTTGTCGCGGTCGTGGCGCCAGTGCGACTCGAGCCAGCCCTTGAAGATGTTGTATACACGCAGACGGACGGGTCCGGCGGCGTGGGGTGTCTCACCAATATAGTCGAAGCGTTCAGCGAGGGCCTCGGCAAACTCAAGAGGCGTAGCAAACAGACGGAAGGTGAGGTAGAAGGTTGAAACAAACATGGCATCGGGGGTAGATTGATGAGCAGTCAGCTTCTCAATAAGAGCACGCAAACTCCCGCCCATCACCGAACCTTCCTTGTAAATAAGTTCGTGTGCGAAAGTCTTCTCCAGGATGTTGGCCTCAGTCTCCTCATTTTCCTCGGCGAGGGTGGAGTAGCTCAGACTCTCCTTCAGCGAGTGAACCTTGAAGCTACCCTGGAAGCTACCCCCAATATCAGGCGAGGTAGCCCGAGTCGAGGTTTGGGAAACGCCACTCATCTCAGAATCACGTGCATGGCTATTATACGTGAAGCTGCTGCCATTGCTTGTAATTCCACGTCCGAATGATTCGCTCATATCAGACTTGGGATGACTTTCACGGTAGTTACTGTCAGTGGAGGAGAAGGAAGAGATGTTCTCGAGGTGGGTGGGGAGTATGGCAGAATTAGGTAAAGAAGAAATGGCGGTGATGTTGGCGGGGGAATTTGCAGGAAGAGACTGAAAGGATGAAGGTGTTGTAGCGTCGGTGAGAGCAGGTGTGCTAGGGATCTGAAGAGGAGGTGGGGGAAGACGTGACATCTCCTGTCGCTCTTCTTCTACGGGAGTCTGCGGTTCATCTTGTGGAGAGGCAACGCTAGACAATTCCTGTCTTTCCTCTTCGAAGTGTTCAGGGTCAAGCTCAAGGTCACCAATTTGCTCAAGCACCAGGCGAGCCTTGGCCAAACAGTTTCCAGCTGCTCGGACACAGTCAGTCGCAGCACCCACAAGGCGTTTTCCTTCATCTACCATGAAAAATAGATCATCTTCTGGCATTTGTGCGGGACGAAACACGTCGCGTGCAGCGTGAACGAGCTCAGATAGCTTCTCCCACATTAACTCTCGTGCCTGTTCGAGAAACGCGCTGCGATGTGTACCATGCTCACATACTACCTCAATGACGTTTAGCAATTGCTTGCATGCCTCGACAGCCTGCTGTGTAGTGACAACCAACTCCATCGAGGAGCGGGACTGCATATGGAACCCGAGGAATGAGCCAAGTACGCCGAGGAATGCATCATATGTTGTTCCCAGGCGTTCGGATGCCAGATTCTGGGCAACGATGGCAGTCGAAGGGCCGGAGACTGACATGCGGTGGGATACAGAAACCCGTTTGGTAGCGACGGAGGCCGGTCTAGGATCAACCATCTCCGTGCGCATCGATGATCGACTCATATCCATCCGGCTATGGTCCATTCGTGATTCCAGCATTCGCGACGCAGATCGATCAGGTCCCTCGTTCTCGCCCAAGTTGAAAGTTTCGGATGCAGGAGTCGGTGGCATGCTATACTGGCCTGAGCTTTCGTTGGGCCCATCCATCTCGGCGATAGTCCGACCCAAGCCTACCTCCTCGTTCCAGACGTCGAGGAATCGAACTCCTCTAGTAACAATCTTGAAAGCCTTGAGAAGCATCTCATCCAGAATGGCCTCAACCTCGTCTTCTGACGGGAGCCCGTTTGCAATTTCCTGGAACTTTTTCGCAGTTTTCACCAGCGAAGACAGGTCAGATAGCAAAGCCTTTCGAATTCTGCGTAGTCCCTCAAATCGCCTTACCAGAGCGGATTCTCGAGTAAGACATTCTGATTTTTCCTGTGGAATGATAAGCCCCGTAATTGTTTCTCGGTTCTAATTCATACTTACTAGTAGAAAGCGGACGCCAGCGATAGGGCCTCTCATCAAGTCTTGATTTCCAAAGTCCTTCAGTGATGACCCGAAGTTTCCTCGAATGATATCCCAGAAATCAGTCAAGGCCTTCAACAAAGGACGCATGGGTAATTGGTCGTAAGCCTCGCAGTAATTCGTGGGTAACCAGCCGCGATTCCCAGAATCTAATAATGTACCATCGGCCCAGCCATTGGTGTGAACGGAGTGTACCAAAATGATATCTCCCTGGTCCAGCGGGAGTGTAACGGTCGAAGGAGAGACATTGCCAGCCGGGTGAAAAGGGTAGAAGGCGCGCAGATAGTTGTGAAAGACAGGCCTCGGGGCTTCCAATTGATCCATGTTTGTGTCCTGGGCGTTTTGTGGCGTTAACGGAGGGGTCATATCTGATGAGCCCCAGCCGGAGTAAGATCGAATCGGTATAGATGTAGCGTCGTTGCTCGACTCGGATAAATTCGAATTGGATTTCGAGATCTTCAATGGGGGGATATGTGGCTTCATTGATTCCATCTCTTGGGTATATCGTGACTGAGTAATTTCTTTCTCGCCGTTGAGGTCACTGACCGGGGGCGTTTATTCGATAAGTGCAATGGACATGGCTCAATGGATCCAAAAGAAAGTCAAGTATCGTAGGCGAAGTGGCGTTGGATAATCAAGGATGGAGGGGAGGAATCAGATCGCCAGAGGCTGGGGTTGATCCTACACAATCTAGGTCAATTGGGGGGCTCAAGGATAGTATAGAGTATAGCCCTGGAGGGATTGAATGATTGGAATGCGCCCAAGGAGGTTGAGGGCTAGGAATGCCAGGAGAGGGGAAGGATTTAGGAACTTTGCACTGGACATACAAACACAAGAAGCAATATTAACAAGTAATCGAAAACTATAAACAGATCCAAACAGACTTCCTTTCAAGGAGTCCGGATTATTCAAGGTCCCGGAGGGATGACGAGTCGCAACGAGGTCCCAATATCAAGGGATGAACAGCTTCCAATGGATAAATAATGCAAATGCCTATGAAGGGGAGAGTGGCAAGATGCTAAGGATCGCAGCAAGGACTGTACGCAAAGCTGGAAAAGAGGGATTCCCTATTAAGGCAACGCAAGGGCGGAAGGGATATAAGTGAAAGAATGCTAAGTATAGCTAAGTATCGCGATTGCTACCGGTAGCAACAGTACAAAAAGTGGAAAATGAAGAGAGCTTTGAATCAAAAGGAGAAGGGAAAAGAGGGAAATAAGAGGAATAATAGCTCTTTGGGAGTTTGAAAGGGCTAAAGGTTGAATCTTCTGGGACTCGATCGGGACGATCCACGCTCCACCTGGTATGAGCCCGTATGGCGATGTACCGTACGCATACCGAAGGCCGTATTTTAATTCCTGCGTTTTGTTTTTTATTTGTTTTTTCTGTTTTTTTCATTATTTGGATTTGGCTAATTATTCTTTTGGGATTATGTGCAGACAACATGTATTCAATAGTATCTACGGGGTATCTTTGGTAAGAAGATCCAAGATTGAGATCATTACAGTAATAGCAAGAGAAGAAATCCAACAAAAAAAAACCGGCCTTGGAGATAGCCCTTCTTCCCCAAGAGTTGGCCTATCTACTCACTTCATAACACGGTACCAGGTCAGGAGGTACCTTCAACCCTAATAACCCGCCGAAAAGGTACACATCTCACATGTATCAACTCACTATCCACCTTGCGTCCGCCGAGCTCTGTTCCAGACCTTCCACGACAAATTCTCCGTTTTAATTTGTTAGAATTGGAATGCTACTCCCGTCTGAGACCAATCACATTGCCCTAACCAAATAAATCCTGTGGGGTTAGGTTCATGTCTTAAAATGCATTGACCGTGTTGTGTGCTAGAGCCTGCAGGGAGACTCGATCAATCATTAAAAGTGACGGACGGGGGTCTTTTGTTCGCCTGTCATCAATATCTCTCCGGGATGAGATCGACAACGCAGTGGCCCCCAATGTGACAGCAGCCAAAAGCCTTTTTTTTATTCTGACCGTTATGGTTGATTTCCAGCGGATTGCAAATAGGGTCCATATCCCTCGGTGATCCGTACCTCACATCAAAAATCCCAATATCCCTGCTCACCCCCTTGTCCAGACCTCGGTCTCTATTGACATTCAGACCAGTTTGTATGTACGTTGTACCGAGTACTCCGTACCATACTGCGATCCCCCTCCTTTTCTTTCCCCCTCCCGCGTGGGGCGATAATCGTAGGAACAGGTTCGTAATTGGCAAACAGGATCCACAAACGGTGGCTGTTGCGAGTTGCGAAAAAGTTGAGCAAACACTGTCGCAACGCTACCCGATGCTTGCATACGTTGTAGGCATCCTCAATCCTTGCTAGATCGTAGCTATGGAGTACGTGGAGGGGGATCTCATGATGCGGACCCGCTCATGTCTAAGACCTCGAATAATAATAGATGCGAGGCGAGATACGGGAGTACCTTGCCGGTGAAAAAATTCGATGTACTTTTGCCTTGCAATAGAATGTACGAAGTACCTCGACTTAAAATGAACTTCGGAATATTTTCTATAAACGCTAGGTGGAATATACGAATATCTGGTCAACGCGTTCTGAGGTCCTCATCGGAACAGTTGAGCGAACCATCGCAAAATTGAATAACCCACGGTCTAGGCTTGGAGAAAGACACTTAGTATCGAGCTCGTAATACACAACTAAGACCATCATAGTATCCATAGGGCCATTCTCCCATTCCCCATCACAGTTGCGTCGCACGTCCTCCCGTAGTTCGACCAACCGATTCGCAGAACTACGTAAACTCGGTGATCCTGCAGTCGCCAGTCAACATTGAAATGTGCAAAGCGCATAATTATTTCTCATCATGCATTGGTTGCCCGTCACATGTTCTGGGATATTTGCCTCCTTGGGAAAGAGCAAAATGTGATAGTTCCTATAAACTAATGTGCGACTAATGTATGTCAGCGAAGCTATCAACCGAGCCGACTAGAGCTCCTAAACAGCATTGGCAGCTTAACCAAAAAAATAAAAATACTCCGAACGTCTCGCCCTCGTGGGGGTCCAACCAACGGCTATCATACTAGGGTAATGCAAGCCCCCTCTATATCCATCACATTAGGTGGGCAAGCAAAATGCGATCTGCGGGCCATACCTTCAATGGGTCGAATGTCCGTGCCGTACGGAGTAGTCGGGTTCAAAGCCATGGCAGAGTGGCAGAGGGGTGGTGCCTGGACCAAGTCCCATTCTATCTCTAATGGAGATGATCTGCTTTTTACCGGTCGCGTATATAAATCGCGTCGAACCGATATTGAGGCTACTCAAATTTACACCCGGTTTGGTTATGGTCAGGTTCGGAACTTTGTCTCTCTTAATCTCTTACTATCTCAGGAAAATACACTGTAAACAAAAACAAGTCGCACAATGCAACTCATAGCGTGATACAATTGACGGGTCAGCCCGCGTGGTCTCAGAGAAACTGTTTGCTTGTCTCATGGCGCATCGATCTTACCTACGGTGGACGGAGTACTCCGTACAGCACAAATCAATCACCCCTGCATATGCATGTAGTCCATTAGCTTAACTTGCTAGCTTGCGATTTTATCAGCTAGCTGTATAGCACGAGCACATCACGTTCCGGCAGACTCGTGCCCAAGTAGTGGGGCATGCACGGTCGTTCTCCCAAGGGACTTTGGACTATAGCCATTGTGCAGTTGAGCTGCAGAACCCGTCTAGTTGACAAGAGATCGTCGGGGGAAAGTGATATCGTCACATTTAGTTTGGTCTGTTTAATGTTCCCCGAGGTTGAGGAGCCCGACCGGCATCCATATGCCCGTTTAGGAAGGAGTCTTGTTAATCCGGATCAGCAATGGGTTCGGTGATAGACACATGTGTCTCTGCGTGATGTCAGCGTATTTTTGCTGGAGGATTACCTCGGGTGATACCTCCACCGAAATGTATCTCTTTCGTGCGACATGATCTAGTTCTCGTACTGCTCTCGTATGGGAGATGACCGGCTTACTTGCGGCGGATTAGCAAGATACTAATCTTCAGATGCAATCTTACTCATGGTTAGCCTCATAGGGCAATTGCTGGAAGAAAGCATGCTAGAGATCTGAGATGTCTTGAATATCCACGTTGGTATCCGAGGGTCAGTGGAACGTGCCAAATAGCGATGTATAATTATGCTATGCAGTCAGAGTAGTAGACGAGGTTCCAGACGTAGCTTTCGTTTAGACAGAGCCTCTATTGGATGCAGGTGGTATGGAGTAGCCTACTAGTTGAATATGTCTTGTCTCGCCGATATATATCCACGGATAGGAATGACCGCGTAGAAAGATTCTGTATTAGACTACAACCTAGTTGAGACCTTGAGATTTTCAAATATATATTGCTTGGCAACATGAAAGACACATCCATATAATCTATCCTCACCATCTTGTAGCACAACCTCCAATAACCAACACGCGGAAGCGCATTCAGACAATCCGAAGGCTGTCGGCCTAAGTCTTCGAGATTATCTTGTGTCACCTCGTGGCCTTGGTTGTTGAGATGCGGTGAACGGTTGAGGCTGAAAGAACACTGCAGTTTTATGCGGCAGGTACCTGCATTCGGCTGCAAGATCGCGCTCAAACCTTACAATTTTGGTTATGATCTCAATAAAGTCGGTCTGCTATAGGGTCTAATGTGATTTGGGAAGCAGAAATGGTTCCTTACTATATTTTTATTCGAAGTTGTGTTATGCTTTCTCGCCGGGTTTTCGAGGTTCTATTGATGGCTGAGAGAATGCTGTTCTTTCATGGCCTTTTACCCCACGATTGCGATTGTGTAACCACGCTGTGTCACAGTCTATTAGATTTACTAGACTATTCAGTTCAATCTCGAAATAGAGCATATTCGAAGATCATATCTCGCTGTATCGTGATTCGTATGTTGTGAATTGTCAGCTACAAACTCCGTACACCCTCTTGATCTATATATCGAGCCTAAGCTCTTGCTCAAAATAATGTTAGTCAAATAATCAAGTTGAAATACTGCACCATAACAACCACATTGAGCGTGTGTATATCACTAAAGAACCCGATTAACGAATTTTAAACATTAAATTTAACGCAGCTCATCCATGGATGCGAGCGGAAAGACGAAACCTTGATGTCTACAGGGGTAACATGGCCCATGCATCTATACCTAAATTTATTATAGGATGTACTTTGTATTGACAAACAGTTCGAGTTAAAAAATGAAGAACATACATACAGAGTACTGTATATGTATAATGCAAGCTCATGAAATCACGGTGGGGGGAGTATCCATTCAATAACAGAGTATACTTCGTACTCCGCAAATTCTTTACAATCGTATGGATATTGCAAGCAGCCCAAAAAGCAGATAGA